GTATAAAGAATGAGCTCAATGTTACAGTCAGTATAAAGAATGAGATCAAGAACAATTTGATTAGCAATCAGAGAAAAAGTTGCAAACTAACTCCACTTAATTAAAAGTTTTTTTTTAATATATTTCAACAATTACCTCGGTAAATAATGCTTCTTCTAATTCTTCCTCAAGATGTTCAGAATCCGCTAGTACGCTTCTATCTAGTGCCGCCTAAACTTAGATAATAATAATAATAGTAATAATAATGTCCCTGAAGAATATCTTTCAGCTCTGCCAGTGTAAATCTGGGTCTTTTGGGATCTTCAAGATCAAAAATTATTTTATTTCTCAGATCAGGCTCCTGGCCACCACTTCTATAAACAAAACAAGCAATGCTTAGGATTCCTGTTTACTGGATCCTGGATAACAATAACAATAACAATACTAATATTTACTGGATCCTGGATAGCAATAACATTACTAATATTTACTGGATCCTGGGTAACAATAACAATAACATTACTAATATTTACCGGATCCTGGATAACAATAACAATACTAATATTTACTGGATCCTGGATAGCAATAACATTACTAATATTTACTGGATCCTGGATAACAATAACAATAACATTACTAATATTAATAACCTAACCTGGATAACAATAACAATAATATTACTAATATTTACCGGATCCTGGATGACAATAACAATAACATTACTATAATAATAACATAACCTGGATAACAATAACAATAACATTACTAACATTTACCAGATCCTGGATAACAATAACAATAATATTACTAATATTTACTGGATCCTGGATAACAATAACAATAACATTACTAATATTTACCGGATCCTGGATAACAATAACAATAACATTACTAATATTTACCAGATCCTGGATAACAATAACAATAACATTACCAATATTTACCGGATCTAAGCAAAAAGGGCATAAAATTAAACTTATACAGAAAGAACTTAGAAACGAGTTATTGTTAAACTCGGGAACATAGAAGTTTAATTAAATGCAGATGGTTTCATTCGTATAACATGTGAAATCTTTAAAATCAAAACTAATGTTAAGCCGAGATTTTTCAGGAAAAATTAAAGAAGACTTAATGAATAGCTGAACTGTGTGAACATATAGTAGTCTGCGTATATATCAATAAAATAAAGACGGCTTTTTACAACAAAAAATGACGTTAGCGGGGTTATCAGCCCGACTTAGCGCCCTCTTCTAGCCTTAAAGTTTACCTGGCTAGATCCTCGTTCTCCTTGTTTGCTAACCCCAATCTTTTTATCAAAGCTCCAGTCTCTCGTTGCTGATCTTGTAACGTTACCTACATATTAACAGCTGATTAACAGATCAGCATCTGAAATATTGATCAACAGCTGATTAACAGCTGACCATCAGCTTTTATAAAGCAGCTGATCAAAAACTGAAACAACTACAAATAAAGTAGCTTTATCAACATATTGATTTTACATATTTACCACCCTAAACTGTAAAGTTTCTGTTGACAGAGGCGTATTCAGGGGGGGGGGGGGCTATGGACCAGTGAAATCTATGGATTTTAGGGAGTTTTCAGGCTCCAGCGGTTCCTGAGCCCCCCTAGGAAGAAAAAAAAATCAAACCACGCCCCTGGAAAAATTCCTGATTACGTCCCTGTCTGTGGATACTGCAATAATCTGGAGAGCACTGACTGAATAAATAAATTAACAATATTGATCAGCTGTTTTATCATATTTTTTGATTAAATGAATCATTTGTTTTTAAGCTGTTAATCGGCTTTTAATCAGCTAATGATAACTAATAAGCTGTGTTTATTATCCGTAAATAAGGTGTGTTTATCAGCTGTTACTCAGCTGATGATCTGTTCTTGGTCAGTTGTTGATTAGCTCTTGATAAGCTATTGATAAGCTGTTAATCAGCTTAAAAGTTTGTTTCACTGTTCAAATTTTCAGCTTTTGTTCTCACCTACTGCCAAACACCCTGTCGCTCTCCAAGTGTAAAAATAAGCTACCCTATGATCTTATGAGTCAACCAACTTGAAATTGAGCCACCCTGGGATCTTTTGAGCCAACCAACCTAAAAATGAGCTAACCTGAAGTTCAGCTCTCTCATCAACCAGACAGTTGAGCTGAGATTGAGCTTGACGAAGCTTACGACGAAGATCTTTGTTAGATCCGGACAATTTATCATTCATAGATTTCATCTCCTGATCACAGATAAATAAACATTATCTAATCAAATTAAACCGTTCTGAAAGGGGGGGGGGTTATTTTCAGAACAGAGGGGTTGAACTTTTTAATACACTAGCTCAGTTATCTATATATATATGAAGTAGTAATCTCTGTTTGTTTGTGTGTGTGTCCGATCATACCTCGTGCACCTTTCACCGATTTGTCTCAAATTTAGACTGGCAAACTCGGTAGATCCACGGCCATGTTCTTAGTTTGCTTTAAAAGTTTTAAATTGAGTTGGTTAAAGTTTGGTTAGCAGGCAAAGCTGGGTTCCCAAGCTAGTATATTATTAACCAGGGAAACAATATAAACATGTTTTATTTTTCCTCCATTTCACTTTTCAGCTCAGCAAGATTATTCTCCATTGATCTAATTTGTTCTCGTTGCTTCTCTAGAATACCCTAAACAATAATAATTTGTGAGCAGCTGTTATTCAGCTGTAGCTGATAATCAGCTATTACTTAGCTGTTGATCAGATACTGATCAGCTGCAGCCGTTAATAAGCTATTACTCAGCTGTTGATCAGATGTTGATTAGCTGTAGCTGTTAATCAGCTATTACTCAGCTGTTGATCAGCTGTTTATCAGCTGTTTATCAGCTGTTTATCAGTTGTTTATCAGCTGTTTATCAGCTATGGATCAGTTGTTGATCCGATGTTAATCAGGCATCAATTAACAGTTATTCAACTGTTCATCAGCTGTTGATTGTTGTTGATAATTTGTTGATCATCTGTTGATTAACTATTGATCAACTGTTCATCAATTGTTTATTAACTATTGATCAGCTGTTGTTCAGCTGTAAATCATCTGTTTATCAGCTGTTGATCAACTGTTGATCATCTGTTTATCAGCTTTTGATCACATGGTAATCAGCCGTTAATTAGCTGTTGATCAGAAGATGATCACTGTTGATCAACTATTGATCAACTGCTGATCAGGTGTTTCTATCAGCGTTGATCAGCTGTTGATTAGCTGTGGATCAGCTATGGATCAGCTGTTGATCAGCGGTTGAACAGCTGAAAATCAGCCGTTAATCAGTTGTTTCTAATGTTACTCTAGAATACCCTAGACAAATGATATGTTGTCAATATTTTTAAAAGTTGTGCATTGGCCACTACGACATTAGCTTTATAGCCATATAATGATTTTATATTTGCTCAGTTGCTATGTTTTCTAAACCAAATTGACATTTTTCTAAACCGGATTGATATTTTTCTATACCGAATTGACATTTTTCTATACCGAATTGACATTTTTTCTATACCGAATTGACATTTTTCTATACCGAATTGACGTTTTTTCTATACCCAATTGACATTTTTCTTTACTGAATTGACATTATTTGTATACCGAATTGCTATTTTTTCTATACTGAATTAACATTTTTCTATACCGAATTGACATTTTTCTATACCGAATTGCCATTCTTTCTATACCGATTGACATTTTTCTATGCCGAATTAACATTTTTTCTATGCCTAATTGACATTTTTTCAATACCGAATTGCCATTTTTTCTATACCTAATTGACATTTTTCTATACCAAATTGCCATTATTTTATACCGAATTGACATTTTTCTAAACCGAATTGACATTTTTCTGTAGCGAATTGACATTTTTCTATACCGAATTGCTATTTTTTCTATACCAAATTGACATTTTTCTATACCGATATTGACATTTTTCTACACCGAATTGCCTTTCTTTTTATACCGAATTAACATTTATCTAAACCGAATTGACATTTTTCTATAGCGAATTGACATTTTCCTATAACGAATTGACATTTTTCTATACCGAATTGACATTTTTCTATACCGAATTGCTATTTTTTCTATACCAAATTGACATTTTTCTATACCGATATTGACATTTTTCTATACCGGAATGACATNAATCTCATAAATGTCTTGTTGATTCTTCAGCTAATGGAGTACCTTCTGAGGCATCTGGCATTAGCAGTACATAAAATAATACTGTATTATCATTTTCATGAAAGGTACCGACAGGACCTTCATGCAACTGGTAAGTGTGCAGAGGGTTTGTGGCAGTACGCCATTAAACTTGACCCATGCTTGGTGGTACACACTTTGGCCTGTGTGGCCAACCATCAATGACACCCCGCTACTCCCTTTGGGGATGGTGTGGTGATGTGGGCTCTTCCCATAACTCTCTTCGGACAGATGGGTGACTGTTTTATTTATTTATTTATTTATCTACACCGAATTGCCATTCTTTTTATACCGAATTAACATTTTTTTTCTACACCGAATTAACATTTTTTTTCTATACCGAATTGACATTTTTCTATGCCGTTTTAGACAGTGACGCGTACGCTTTTTCTGCGCGAAATTTGCTTTAAAAATCATTTTTTAGGGTTTGGATATGCATAAGAGTGTAAAAAGTGTATGGGGGATGATCTTTGAAGAAAATAAACACCCCTGCTAAAATCTAGAAATTAAATGAAAGTTTTTCTTTTTCCTTTTTCATTTTATCCCAAGAATAAACTTGTTTAATTAAAAAGTTTTTACTACGTCAATATCCAAGTTTCAGGTTCTTCTCTAAACCTCTGCTAATTAATTTAATCAATCTACAGGGAAGGGTAATCAAATAAAGTACTCATACATCTTTCTTTAAAACCGCATCTTTTATTTATAAATATGTTTTAAAAGTTTTATATAATAAAGAATCGACAATTTAGAATTCTGATAGTTTAAAATATATTTTCGCATGAAAAAAATTTGTTCTGAGCTTAAAACTTTTATGTTATTCATTTCTCAATCAGGTCAATCCGTAATCCTTATCTTTTGATGTCCAAACGATCAAATCAATTCCTCTCTGATATCCTGTGGTAGTCAGCCGAAATAATTATAAAGGAATTGAGTTTTTGCCACAAACTCAAATCTTCTTAACCCGATATTTTTGCAACCAGATGTTGTAATTTTTTAATATTTCAAACTTTGACTGATTGATCTAACAGAATTCATAATTCAGAAATATCTAAGGTCTCCAACATTGGGTTGCAAAAGATATAGAGATTAGAAAAACAGAGCATGTGGCAAAAACTCAATTCATTTACAGATCAAGGATATAGTTATCCCCTACAATTTTCAAGTTGCCACAGTAGATATCCAGATCATGGGTTGAAGATTAGCGCTATATCATATAAAAGTTTTTAACTCTGGATAAAAATGATTATTGGAAAATGTTTTTACTCACCTGGAGTTTGTTGACTATATCTATTTCTATAAATGATTCATCTTCAGAAAATGCGCTAAAAATAAATATTTTTTCAATAAGTGCTAAAAATCAAGGTTTGATAATCAAGAATAGATCAATATATTTGTTTTTCTCTTCTAGTAAGTCATTTATTTGTTTGTTTATTTATTTGTCTATTTCTTCTCTTATGTATCTTTTTCAAATGTTATTTATTTATGTTTCTTTCCATTACTTTATATCTTGCAAAGATGTCACTGTTGTCCGTTCTTGTTTTATAAACTTTTTTATATTTTCAATTATTTTTTTAATTTTATGTACAGTTAAACCATAAATAAGCCATACATCCAAAGAATTTATCAACTATCGTCTTGACAATTTTTCAATGGGTTTTATACTATTTTACGTAAATTTCAGTATTTGCGAAAATAAATAAAACAGCCATGAATATGCGGGAACAGTTTTAAAGAGTTCCATATAATCATTTAATTAAAAATACTAAATATATGCAACATTCCATTATCATAAAATCAAGAATACGACATTTGATGAATTCTATCGATGTATGGCTTATTTAGGGTTTAGCTGTATTTCAGATAACTCTTTATTTAAAAAGTGTTTGACAAAACCGGTTCAAAACTTTTGTCACGCAGTAAAATCTAAAAACATGGTATCTTAATGTTGCTGTCTACCTATCTCTCTCTGTTGCAGCAGTAAGTGAAGACGACAGTTTCCTATTCTCATCTTGTAATCGTTTAATGGTTGTCAAATAGTCCTTAGTCTCGGACTTGAAGTGTTCCTCAACCTGATACAAATTAATTAGTTAAATTTTTCACATTATCATTAATACATTTCATGATCTGGGTTTGTTTAATTTTTTCGTCTGAATACCCATTTTTAACAAAAAAATGATTTTGTTTATGTTTATTTTCATTTGATTTTATAAATTTTTCATATTTATTATATCTTATAGACCGAAATATATTTTCAAAAAATGTGGAACTAACATTTACATTGTTTACGCTGTGAGGTTTGGATCATCATGAACACCGAATTTTAAATTCATATAAAATTATCAAAGATGTTTCATAAAAATCTTAATTTCTAAAAGTTTAAAGTCAAAATTAAAAGTCTCACTGTAATATTTATAATTCTTTAGAATTTTTAAATCAAACATTTAGCTAGCGTTTCTGCAGCGTTCCAATGGGAGTTCTTAGGCTAATATTGATTTTTTCATCCCCACTCCAACCCGCAAAAAAAATGTTTTAAACTTCTATGGCCTCAGGAAAAAGAAAAATCCTCAAGTATATGTAAATTCTATTTTCAACACTTTCTTCACTTCGCTTAATATTAAGTGTAAGACCATAAAATGTAAAATTTAAAATGTAAAATGTAAATTGTAAAATGTAAAACCATAAAGTGTAAAATGTAAAATTTAAAATGTAAAATGTAAAACCATAAAATGTAAAATGTAAATTTAAAATGTAAAATGTAAAATGTAAAATGTAAAATGTAAAATGTAAAATGTAAAATGTAAAATGTTTTGAGTGGAATTCTGTGTTAAATAAAGGTAACTTTAATGAAAATTAATAGTATCTGCAGTATCCTATTTTAGTTATACCCTTCTCTCTAAATCAGAGTTTAAAAAAAGAAAACATTATTCAAGGTACAGGAGTAGGTAAGAAGCTCCCTGGATTATATAAAGTAGGAAAGTAGCTCCCTGAATTATATAAAGTAGGGAAGAAGCTCCCTTAATTATATAAAGGGGGTAAGAAGCTTCCTGTATTAAATAAAGCATGGAAGAAACTCCCTGAATTATATAAAGTTGGGAAGAAGCTCCCTTAATTATATAAAGTAGGAAAGTAGCTCCCTGAATTATATAAAGTAGGAAAGTAGCTCCCTGAATTATATAAAGTACAGGGAAGAAGCTCCCTGAATTATATAAAGTAGGTAAGGAGCTCCCTGAATTATACAAAGTTCAGGGAAGAAGCTTCCTGAATTATATAAAGTACAGGGAAGAAGCTCCCTGAATTATATAAATTAGGTAAGGAGCTCCCTGAATTATATAAAGTAAAGGGAAGAAGCTCTCTAAATTATATAAAGTACAGGGAAGAAGCTCCCTGTAATATCTAAAGTAGGTAATAAGCTCCATTAATTCTGTACCTGTTCTATATCCCTGGCATACCGTATCCTCTCATCATTCTTCTTGTTGTCCTCATGCTCCAGATGTTCTATTGTTCGTCTGAAAATATGTGGTCGGCGTTTATATCAATACATTGAAGACAACGTTCGATTTCAATTTTGAGATCTACCAGCTTTCAAACAACATGGATACACAAAACAAGAAGCTGGAAATTAACAGCTTCTTTTTGTTTACCAATAAACTTTTAATTTGAAAAAAAACTTTAGTGGACAAGTCGTCTTCATTGTATTGATATAAACGCCGACCACGCTAATCTACAACAATTTAACGGATAAATTACAAAATCTGAGAGAACAACAGCCCTATTTTTTGCCAACTCTCATTGGCCGACAGCAATTTTTTGTGGATTCTGATTGGTTGATGTTCAAAGATCCGTTTCAAACGACTTTTTTAAATACAAAATTTTACATTTAATGATAATTCATAATCATCTCGGAGTCAGAGTGTCATCTCTAAATCTAATATTGATAACAGTAAGAACCAGGCAAGTATGGAAAAAGAAGACGACAATAAAACAATATTAAATTGATTTCGAATCGAATCAAATCAAATAGTTTTACTACAATGAATCCTAGATATATGAATGTCGTATTCTCAACATATTCAAGATCAAATGCCTCGGAAAAATTGCTGTCCTTCATATTTCAAGGCTATTAATTTACCTTGAATTAAAAATAAAAGCAGTGTCTTAAGAACTATCAAACACTGCAAACATCTCAGAAACTTTCTTTTTGTGTAGACCAATGAGGAAGCAATACAGTGTCATGAATTTTTAAATATATTTCAAGACGACATTTCATGCGCTCTTGCTATGTATTCTTATATGTGAGATTGGCTGTAGTAGCTTAGAAATCATTTTTAACTGCAAACTGCATATCTTCTGTGTTTCATGTTCATCATAGGCTTTTAAAATCATCCTATTCCACATATTATGGTTCTCACTGTAAGGCACACTGGATCTACAAAATTCAATCCCCCGCTCTCTGTTTTGGAATTTTACGGGGCACAACAGAAAATGGCAAATGCCTGTAAAAAAGATGTTTCCGTACCTTAGATCTTCGATCAACATCTGTTCCGTGTCATTTTTCTGTACAAGGATTTCTAGCTGTTCCAGAGCAGCAATAACCTACAACAATGATCAATTGTGATGAGTAATAACACGGCTCGATTATAAAAGGTTTTAAAAAAATCTAAAAAGTTTTTTGAATTTTTTATTTTTAACATTTGCAAATTCTATCCCTACACTTCACTGAATTTTAACCCTGAAAGAATATAAATGTTTTCCAGTTTTAGCATAGTTTAATAAAATCAAACTTTTACAGAATACAATTTTGAAATGTTGGAACTTTCACAGGTTTGTGTGGTGCTTTTAAAATTCCCTTTACAGTACACTAAAGTACAGTACAGTACAGTAAAGTACAGTACAGTACAGTACGGTACAGTACAGTACAGTACAGTACATTACAGTACAGTACAGTACGGTACAGTACAGTACAGTACAGTACAGTACAGTACAGTACAGTACAGTGCAGTACAGTACAGTACAGTACAGTACAGTATAGTACAGTACAGTACACTATAGCTTTGGTTTTAAAAGAGTATTAAGACCAATCAAGATTTATTTGAAAACCCAGACAGCTCTCTGTAAAAAATTTAGTTTGTGAAATATTTTACCTTTTGCATAAGACTGGTGACCCTGTCTGCACCCTCCTCATCTATTATATTTTCAAATTCCTAAAAATAAACCAAATGATTTTCAAAATAATTTTTAAAAATTATAATTTCAAGATAACTGAAATCTTGATGTGCACCTTTCCAATATCTGCCGCAATATCATAAACATCCACGAGAGTCAGGGATCTATCCCTTCCACGTTGCTTTTCCATTCTCTGTTCCGCCATCTTGGTTTGGTTTGGTTTAACTGTTTGCGGCCATCTTGGCTTTTTAGTTGTTTCCTATTCCCGCATTTTTTTTTCTGAAAACAGGTTCCGTTATATGGACTTTCTAAGCTGCTTTTTCTGAGTGTAGGAATAGAAAATATGCTAAGCTGCTAGCAACAATACTGAATTTAAAAATAGATAGATAAAATAGGTTTAGGAACAAAATCTATATCTAGCAAATAATAATATCTAGCAAATATATGCCAAGCTGATGAGAAATAACAATATTTTTGGTTCAGATTGCATAGGTTTCGCTCAAAGTATCTAAAAAATTCCAAAAAATGTCTTCAACAAGATGCCATTTATCAGCAATATATTAGCAATATATCAGCAATATATCAGCAATATATCAGTAGTATACCAGCAATCAGCAATATATCAGCAATTTAACCATTTATAATTTTAATTCTATGAAAAAAAGAAGGAAACATTCCTTAAAAAGTTTTCAATATTGAATTGATACAATTCTTACCTTAATTGTATTTTAGTAGCAAATATTTGGCAAGAATAAATTGCTAGAAGGATTAAAATTTATTACAAAATTAGGAATATTTTCAACTAAACCATTATTTAAAAAGCTCCAAATATCATAGTTTTTGGACAGTCGTTTGTTTATCATGTTTTTGACTAATCATAAAAAAAAGCTGGGGAAGACGTTAAAAATTTACAAGTTTTAAAAAAATCCTATTTTCATAAAAATGTGCTGTTTAGGATAAATTTAAACGAACAAATCATTTTTCGATTTTAATTTTGTCATAATCAGTCATCTTTTTTTCTTTAAACCTTTGATAATTTAGCAGAGATATTAAAAATCAGAGTTGTGGCAAGAACTCAGTTCTTTTCTAAAAAATGCGGGGTTTTCTGAACGATCGGGTTTAATATTTCAACAATATATTTAAATAGAAAAAATCACAAATTAATGAACCTTCCGCTTTCCATTCTTCCCAAATTTTCTGATCCATTTCATTTAGATGCGGATCCGACAAGCTTTTTAAACCTTATTCTAAAAAACTCTTTTATTTTCTCAAATTTTAAAAGAGGATAGGGATGATTTTAGAGAAAATATTCATTATACACCCTGTTCTAAAATTCAAGATTTTAATTGTAATGAGCAATTGTAATTTCATGAAATTAAGTCTTAAAAGGATATATGTATATATATATCAATAAAATATTTAGTGATATGGGATAATGGGATACTAACATTAGTATTTACTTAAACATCTGACAAAATCATAAAAATTGAGATCAAAATAATATAAATAATAATTATAATAACATGCAATAGAAAATAACATTAATATCTTTAATTTTTCAAAATAGTATTTTCCAATTTGGTATTTGTTTTGAAAAAATGTCTTTTAAAAGGAACTTAAAAATAACCTCTGTAAATCAGACAAAAAATAATATCTTAATTCAGTATTAATCAGAAAATCAGACTAGAGTATTAAATCAGAAAATCAGACTGGACTATTAAATAAAAAATTAGACTAAAGTATTAAATCTGGGCATCAGACTAAAATACTATCAAGAAATAAACTAAGAATTAGATCACACTAAAATATAAATTGGGAAAATCAGATCGGAAAACTAAATTAAGAAATCAGATCAGAAAACTAAATTGAGAAATCGGACTAGAAATAAAATTGAAAAATTAGACTAGAAAATAAATTGAAAATGAGACTAGAAAGAAAAAAAAATTTACAATTCTTACGAAAAAATGTATCCTGACTAGAAAACGTAGTCTTCTAGAAATATAAACTTTTTAAAAAAAAACTATTATAAAATAAGAATTATGAAAAGAATTTAGATGTTGAACATTGATCCTGTCTTGTGCCCTTTGCTGGATATTTTGTCGAAAAACATCAGTTTTTTTACATCTCCCGTTGCGGATATTCGACCAGTTAAATACGCCTAAAAAAATAATTTTATTTTCATTTAAAAATAATTAAACTTGAGAAAAAAAGCATTTTGTTCGTTAAGCCAAAAAACAAACGATTCAAAATCGTTCGAACGAACTTGAAAAAACTTTGATTTGTTTTCCTGAACAAACACATTTCCAAAAGAATTTGACAAAAACGATCGTTTTTTACTAAACGAACGATTTTTTGGAACAAACTATAAAAATAGGTTTGTCTACTGAACGAACGATTTTATTGAAAGAACGAGTTTACTGAACAATGGAAAAAGAAATATAATTTTAAGAACAAGAGAATCTATTTTTTTGAAGGATTGAAAAAAAGAACGAAATAGATTTTTGAAAATTGTGAAATATCCCTTAAATGTTGGTCATAAAGGGAAAACCAGCAAACTGTAGAATAGGAAGACGATATTAAAGCAATAAATAAATGTATTTGATGTTCTTACATAGGAAATAGTGCTACTAGACACTTATTAAATCACTAGTTTAGTTAAGTTGGGTAAGTTTACCACTAAAGTTTCATTGGAAGTAAATATTTCCATTTACTGTTAGAGCCGATTGAAGGATTCATGTCTCTATTGAATAATGAGATGGAAAGATAAATGTTACCGCCAAACTATTTGGTTCAGAATAGACAACAAACACATGACTGAACCCTGATTGGATCAGGCACTAATGGACTCGGCATACAGGAGTGTTACAATGCACAATTGCCGTGTCTCATGTTCATTGCACAATTTAAATTAATAAATTGAACCTATTAATATTAGTACCTGGAGGGGGGAAAGTACCTGGAGGGGGTAAAGTACCTGGAGGGGGGAAAGTGGAGGGGGGAAAGGGACCCTTGAAGAACAGCAAGGAGGTCTGTACTCTCCAGGGTAACCTTCATAGATACAAATATTTTAATTGAAATTTTTCATTTATGATTATTTTTATTTATATATTTTTTTCATTTATGATAATTTTTTATCTATGCTAATTTTCTATTAATGATCATTTTTGATTAATGATTATTTTTTAGTAATAATAAATAAAAGATCATTTTAGATTAAAAATAAATTTTGATTTATAATTTTTGATCAAAATTTCTTAAATTAAAAACAAATTTTTATTTATGATAATCACTGATTCAAAATTTCTTAAATTTAAAATAAATTTTGATTTCAGATATTTTTTATTCAAAATTTATTAAGTTTAAAATAAATTTGATTTATGATATTTCTTAATTCAAATTTCTTAAATTTAAAATAAATTTGAATTATGATAATTTTTGATTCAAAATTTCTTAAATTTATAATAAATTTTGATTTATGATATTTTTTCATTCTAAAATTTCCTAAATTCAATTCTAAACGACTCCGCGGTGCCAGCAGAACCCCCAGGTTCATCCTTTATTTTTATTCATGATAATTTTTTGTTTAGAATAAATGTTGATATTATTACCTCAACGTTTGGTTTAGCTGCCGGGCAGTCCCTGCTTAACCTGACCTTGTGACACCCGTGTGATATATCAATTATAAAGCTTTCTTGACCTAAAATATAAAAGATATTTAAAGGAACTGTAAGCATAATTAAAATCAAGGTACTCTGTGTACATATTGAAACCAGTTCTCTCTGGGCGGAATTTGTAAACAGATGCATCATTGTTCGTTGAGTATCCGAGGAGGATTAAATTATTTAATTTTGATTTTTTTTAAATTCACATAATAGTTTCCAATGACCAGAATATTTCATAGATTATTTTTGTAAAAATGGATTCCATGTCAGGCTGTGACATCCGTCCTGTGTTTACTTTTCCGCCCAAAGACAGTACACTACAGTACAAAAAATGCGTACACCTCTGAAATAACTTTCCATGCATTTCCATGCAAAGATGACAATGCCAGATTCACAACTGTACGATTTAAATCTTTTTTGATCGATAATTTAAAAGAAATAGTCTTTTTCGAGATTTATAAGTGTTTAATTCTAATAATAAATATAAAACTGCATAATTCCAATTTTTATACTTGATCAGACGAAGCTTTTAAGGGCACCGTCGGAAATCTAGCTTTGCTGTCTTTATACGTGGAGGGACACCATAAAAAAATAAACTGCTAAACCTGCTGCGGATTGAATAAAACCCTAAAATAATAAACTGCAGGGTGTCCCAATAAACATGGGAATTCAGTGACGAATTCGATATAGCCTTTTAAAATAATTCTTTGATTTAGTATAGTGATACCTACTGAGAAAGCTGTAATCCGTATGAATTTCGTCTGCTATGTCCACATTTTGTTTGTTTATGTTTGGACTGCATACGGTTGTACTTAGTAAAACAAGAAAATTACAGTTTACAGAGTAAACTTGTCGCTCTTCACTGTTCATCTTGCGGAGACATTATAGACACATGTTTACAGCCATTTACCGTTTTCATTAAATAAACTCTAGCGGACATAATACTACTTTTGAAATCAGGTATTACAATACTAATTTGTAACAAAGACATATCGAATTCGTCAGTGAATTCCCATGTTTATTGGGACACCCTGTACTAAACCTGCTGCGGATTGAGTTCCAGTAATATTTATCTGATAGAGACCCATTGCCTCCGCATCAAGCTGTAGTCCATCCTGAAAAGCAAACAAAATGTTAACCCAGAACTTTGAAGGTAATGAAAGAATTTATAAAATGTCGTCTTCTAATTCTACTTATAATGGAATATAATAATTATATGAAGCTCTTAATAACTGTTCTCGCATATTTGATGGCTATTTATTTATTTTTACAATTGATGAAAGTTAGTTAAAATATTTTAAAACCCATCGAAAAAATTTCAAGACGACATTTTATAAATTCTTTCGATGTTTCCTTTCCGAAGTTCTGTGCCAAACTGTATATAATATCATCAAGAAATAGTGATGGAAATTCAAAATATGGTCATTTAAGTCTCATTCTTTATAACTGAGGAACCCCTTGACGATTTGGCTCAAATTTTGATTGTAGAACTCGGTAGAACCACGGGAATGTGTTTAGTTTGGCTAAAATATTCTATGTTGAGTAGTTTGACTTTTACAGGGGAAACTCCAGACAAAGCTGAGTTCCTCAGCTAATCTTCATAATAAAGCTTTTCCCTCATATATATATATATATATTTATGTGTTACCTATGGCTGGCCAAACGTCGTGGGTGGACAACATTTGTATTTTTCAAGATGGAATGTTTTTTCAAAATTCTTTTCAAATTCTTTTCAATTTCACGGGCAACGGGGGGCACTTCAGCTGGTATGTAATATATATATATGTATTATATGTTATAGTTTTGTAGAAGTGTAGGACTGCAGAGTTCTCAACACCGTATATACCAGCGGAGATTTATATTTCAGTTTTTAACTTCACATTTTTATTAAAAAAATAATCAAATAAAGGGGTAGTTAGTAAAGTTTATCTGTAATCAAATAAAGGAAAAGTTAGCAAAGTTTATCTGTAATCAAATAAAGGGATAGTTAGCAAACTTTATCTGTAATCAAATAAAGGGAAAGTTGGCAAAGTTTATCTGCAATTAAAAAAAGATATTTACAGTCCTCGTCGAATTTATCAAATTAAAAGACGGGTTTCGATTTTAATTTGGATTTCTAACAGGTTTTCAACAGCTTGGATACACATAAACTTGAAATAAAGAGAAGCAATCAAATAACAGCCCCTCTTTTTTCACTTATAAACTTGTAGTTTGAAAAAAAACGTTCGTTAGTAACAACAACTGTTTTTTGCAAACTCTTAAACGCAAACTATGAAATTCTGTCTTTACCACAAACTCCTATTTTCTTATCCAAATAAATTTGCAACCTAATGTCAAAGACCTTAGAAATTTCAAACTATGAATTTGTTGCATCAGAAAGTATTAGCTATGGAATTTCAAAAGTTTACACAATAAGGTGGCAAGAAAATTTTAGTTTAGAATAACATCTTTTTGAAATGTTATCTCTCTTTTTATATTTATACCTTGGGAGGAGGAATTATCCCCATTGAGGACATTGAAGCAAGTGGTATAGGTTGATTCACACTCACAAACTGGCTGGGTGGTGTATACCCAGCTTGGGGTGGAGGATACGAGTTAGTAAATCCATTCAGTAAACTCACCCCCGGCCCATCACCTGTAGGATCAATAGAGTTAGTAAATTCATTCAGTAAACTCACCTAGCCCTTTACCTATAGGATTTACTGGGTTTCTTAAAACGTTTGCCTTTGCTTAATTATTAATATTCTAATTTCCTTTCCTTTTAAAGTATCTCTCAGGGGTGTATATATTTATTGATTTTTAAAGATCTGGGTGAAAAAATGAGAAATTCATTCATTTTCTTCTTAAAATTAGTCAACTCATTTTCAAAGGAAGGGGGGGGGGGCGATTGTTCAAGGTCCAAAAAAGAATCAGCAAACCTTTTTTCACTCAAAATCAAACGTGCAGAAAAGCAAAAATATGCATATAAATTATTTCTATCAAATTCTAAAATTTTAAAAGATTGAATTACAGATTCACAGAAAATTTGCAATATTTGTATATTTTTTATTAAAACATATTTTCTTTAATTACACACTAACACATATCAAAAATATATTTGAATTGTAGTGCTTAGAATTAATTTTGTTTTTATGCGGTTTCAGATCCATACAAATATTTTGGCCTTTTACCAAAAAAAAATTCATCGCCATTTATTACGCAGAAACTAGACTTAGGATTGGATATTGGATATTTGTGAAGGTTTTAATAGTATATCATTGGTTGTAAATGTCCTTTAGAGAGAAGGTTTTAATAGTATATCATTGGTTGTAAATGTCCTTTAGAGGGAAGGTTTTAATAGTATATCATTGGTTGTAAATGTCCTTTAGAGAGAAGGTTTTAATAGTATATCATTGGTTGTAAATGTCCTTTAGAGGGAAGGTTTTAATAGTATATCATTGGTTGTAAATGTCCTTTAGAGAGAAGGTTTTAATAGTATATCATTGGTTGTAAATGTCCTTTAGAGGGAAGGTTTTAATAGTATATCATTGGTTGTAAATGTCCTTTAGAGAGAAGGTTTTAATAGTATATCATTGGTTGTAAATGTCCTTTAGAGGGAAGGTTTTAATAGTATATCATTGGTTGTAAATGTCCTTTAGAGAGAAGGTTTTAATAGTATATCATTGGTTGTAAATGTCCTTTAGAGGGAAGGTTTTAATAGTATATCATTGGTTGTAAATGTCCTTTAGAGAGAAGGTTTTAATAGTATATCATTGGTTGTAAATGTCCTTTAGAGGGAAGGTTTTAATAGTATATCATTGGTTGTAAATGTCCTTTAGAGAGAAGGTTTTAATAGTATATCATTGGTTGTAAATGTCCTTTAGAGGGAAGGTTTTAATAGTATATCATTGGTTGTAAATGTCCTTTAGANGGATCAAGATCAATCTGGGATCAAGATCAATCTTCAATTTTTCTCCAAGATTAATATTTTAAATTAAAATTTATTAGTTTTCTCTGAGAATTCAATATTAATAAAATGTTGTAAAACAATATATGGAATTACCTGTAAAAAATCCCCCAACAGCGCTGGCCAGGGTATTAATTGCATCAGCGTTAGGATCCTAAATATGATAATATTATAAAACCTTCAACATATTCTCCGTGGACTCTGTTCCTAACATGTCAAACTAAGTTCTATGTGTTTCTCAATGTCAGGACTTTGATTTTACTTCACTTGCTTACTTTAACTTCTATTTAGAGTCAAAGACATGTAAATGTTAAAACTATTAAGTAATGTTTTCAGCTTAAGTTTTTTAGGAAGTAATTGGAAAAATTCTCATTTTAAGCTTTGATTGGATTACTGTGTGGTCCGGACATTGGCTACCAGGTGTTTTTAAAAAAAGTTTGTTTAAGCTTTTTTACACTTAAAAGTGTTTCTAGTAAGTATAACGATATTTAATGTGGGGGTCGTGGGGGGGGGAGGGGGGGACCGAGAATATTTTCGAATATTAGGCCTATCATTGAAGGTTAAAACGACATTTTAGAGCCAAATGTTTCATCGCCGGCCCCCATATAATATACAGTATAACTACTCTTTTAACACACTCTTTTAAACTCCACGTTGATTAGAGTTGACTATACATTGTTTAACTGAGGTGTAGGATAAAAGAAACAAGTTTGGTCAAAATTAAATTAAAATTCTAAGTGGGGCCATTTCTCCACACAGCCCAGTATTCTTATATAAAGGAAAATATATAGATTGTATCAGGTGTGGTGTTATTTCTGGGTAAACGTTTAATAATGGTAGCAGACTCTACGCAGCCAATTTTCGCGGCATTCGCGCACAATTCTGTGTTTGTAAACAGTGAAAGTATTTCTCATATTTGAAATCAATCGAGTTTTGCTGAGCGACAGACAGTAAAAATCAATTGTTTTAACATTAGGGATCGATATTACAGCTTAGTTTACGTAAGTGAATTGTTAAGATTCTGATACTTTTCAACTAATGAGAGTTTAATGTACAGTTAATTACTTCTGTACTCACATTATATATCAGCATATAGTGTATATTTTAAGTGTATAAATATAATTTCTTATTTTCAAATGTCAGATAAAATACCAGATTTCAGTTGTGCTCATTGCCGTAAACTGCAAAAATATGCGCGGATGCCGCGGGAAAAAAATGCTGTGTAGAGTGAGTCTCCTACCATTATTTAACGTTTACCCAGAAATAACGCCACACCTGGGTTTGTAAGGCATAAACCTTTTATTATTTTAAGTGAACTCTCCTCCAAAGATAGCAATGGCCGACTTACAACGGTATCATTGAAACCTTAATCTGATCAAAACTCTGGATTACTCAAAGTATTAATTTTTGTTAATTTCTCCTATGTTTTATGTAAGCAAGAAATGTGCAAATAACTTTTGCTAGGGAACCCACGAATTAAAATAAACAGTTTAAAAAAAAAAATCATTGACTTCTAATTTCTATTCAAGGGTACCGTTGTAAATCTGGCATTGCCATTTTTGCCTGGAGGTTCACTTGAAATTACGCTTACAGTCCCTTTAAGGAGATTTTAATTCTGAATCCTAAGTGATGTACTGTGCATGGGACCCATAGAATTATAAAATAGAAGACGATATTTGAGCAATGTTAAGTGTAGTTGATGTTGTTGTACACTGCNTCTGGGATCAAGATCAATCTGGGATCAAGATCAATCTGGGATCAAGATCAATCTGGGATCAATATCAATCTTGGATCAAGATCAATATTGGATCAAGATCAATCTGGGATCAAGATCAATCTTGAATCAAGATCAATCTGGGATCAAGATCAATCTTGGATCAAGATCAAACTGGGATCAAGATCAATCTGGGATTAAGATCAATCTTGAATCAAGATCAATCTTGGATCAAGATCAATCTTGGATCAAGATCAATCTTGGATCAAAGAAAACAGGACTAGAAAAAATTTGATGCAGGGACAGAAAGCTCCAAATCATGCCAGGTTTGGACCAAATCACGGTTTATCAACTTTAGTCCCCTGTATTGTTACTAACCGGCAGGTTTGGGCCAAATAATTGTGTGTTGACTTTATTCCCCTGCATTGTTACAAGGAAGGTTTGGGTCCAATCACGGTTTTTCAATTTTCTTCCCCTGTACTGTTACTAACCAGCAGGTTTAAGCCATATCACAGTTTGTCGACTTAATTCCAAAGTATTGTTACTCACAGGCAGGTTAGGGCTAAATCACGGTTTGAACTTTATTCCCCTGTATTGTGGCCTGTGGGTTGACTTACCTTAGGGTCCGATAGAGTAACTTCTCTCACATTTATTCCCCATTTATGCACTTGTTCATTTAGTAAACACAGGATATCTTCTGCAGCGATCCGCCTGAATTATACTTTATTGTATTTGATTACTTAACCCTTTAAATGCTAGGGGTCTGAATATATAGCCTGGGGGGGGGCGTCCCCCCCCTAGTAAAGGCTAAATAGCTAAATTTTTCAAGGCCAGCTCATTGAAAAAAAATTAGACCGATAACTTTAATAGTTTGGGTGCCAGGGAAAGTTGAAAACAATTCCCAAAAAAGGGTAAAAAAATGTTAAAAATATTTTTTTTGTTTTAAACAACTATCAAAGTGTGAAACATGTTTCAACATTCATTTTTCAAGGGCTGTTCAAAAATACAATTTTTAGATCTGTAAAGATATGGGCTATTTTAGATTTTTTTACCAAAAAAAAAATTGAAGGGGGCGTAAAAGCAATTCAACAAATACACAACCAATCTGAAAACGAAGATATCCCTGAGAAGCCTAAGAAACTTAGGTTTGCTTCTATCATTAATTGAATTTAATAATTTTTTATTTATAAAAGATAAAATTGATAATATTATTTATACGTCCATATCACGTCACCAGAACTCCTAGCAATGGTAGTGCAGTATACTGGTCACGTTATATAGACGGAGTCACGTGATAATGATACTGCACTGCCATTAGTGGGAGTTCTGGTCACATGATACGGAAGTAGTTATATTATCAATTATATATATATAAAATGAAAAATTATCAAATTCAAATAATAATAGGAGCAAACCTAAGTTTCTTAGGCTCCTCTGGGATATCGTTGTTTTCAGATTGGTTGTGTATTTGCTGAATATGATCCGTTTAAACCCACTATTTTTATACAAACTTTTATGTGTATAGATTTTCGTATAAATTTCTTGAGACAGGAACATCAGATAAAACTCTTATGGGTCTCGATCAACTCCTAAAATTCTTCGGTTTCAGCCTATACCCCTTTCATTTTTCCTTTACAGTTCCTTTAAATGTGTGGAGTTACTTTTTCTTAATCATTATCGCATAATTCCACTTGTCATCTTTGCAGAAACCATATTTGAAAATTAGCAATTTTTAGAAATGCAAGGATATTTTTGTCACATTTGATCATCGACAAAGGTATGAAGGTTACTTTTAGAAATTTTGTCTCTTTGTAAAAATTTGACAATTTATTGTTAAATTGCTCTATGGAATGTAATTGTATATCGATGGGTAAATATCCATTTCATTTGTAGAATTTATTGAAATATGTTCAATATAAATTCTAAATATTATATTCTGAAGGGAATACAATGTATTCCAATATAATGTTTTACAAGATAGACTCTACAGGATTATCCACGAAGAATAAAACTTTAGAGACGACTGTATGGAATTTATACTGCATTGATTTCCGGGCAAAGCTGAGTTCCCCAGCTAGTCTTTATATAATTATTAATTATTCATGCTGGGACCTGTCTTTAGTCAGCTTGGATATAGTCTTTTTGGTCAGCACTTTAGGATCAATCTTGGATCAAGATCAATCTGGGATCAAGATCAATCTGGGATCATTGAAGGTTAAAACGACATTTTAGAGCCAAATGTTTCATCGCCGGCCCCCATATAATATACAGTATAACTACTCTTTTAACACACTCTTTTAAACTCCACGTTGATTAGAGTTGACTATACATTGTTTAACTGAGGTGTAGGATAAAAGAAACAAGTTTGGTCAAAATTAAATTAAAATTCTAAGTGGGGCCATTTCTCCACACAGCCCAGTATTCTTATATAAAGGAAAATATATAGATTGTATCAGGTGTGGTGTTATTTCTGGGTAAACGTTTAATAATGGTAGCAGACTCTACGCAGCCAATTTTCGCGGCATTCGCGCACAATTCTGTGTTTGTAAACAGTGAAAGTATTTCTCATATTTGAAATCAATCGAGTTTTGCTGAGCGACAGACAGTAAAAATCAATTGTTTTAACATTAGGGATCGATATTACAGCTTAGTTTACGTAAGTGAATTGTTAAGATTCTGATACTTTTCAACTAATGAGAGTTTAATGTACAGTTAATTACTTCTGTACTCACATTATATATCAGCATATAGTGTATATTTTAAGTGTATAAATATAATTTCTTATTTTCAAATGTCAGATAAAATACCAGATTTCAGTTGTGCTCATTGCCGTAAACTGCAAAAATATGCGCGGATGCCGCGGGAAAAAAATGCTGTGTAGAGTGAGTCTCCTACCATTATTTAACGTTTACCCAGAAATAACGCCACACCTGGGTTTGTAAGGCATAAACCTTTTATTATTTTAAGTGAACTCTCCTCCAAAGATAGCAATGGCCGACTTACAACGGTATCATTGAAACCTTAATCTGATCAAAACTCTGGATTACTCAAAGTATTAATTTTTGTTAATTTCTCCTATGTTTTATGTAAGCAAGAAATGTGCAAATAACTTTTGCTAGGGAACCCACGAATTAAAATAAACAGTTTAAAAAAAAAAATCATTGACTTCTAATTTCTATTCAAGGGTACCGTTGTAAATCTGGCATTGCCATTTTTGCCTGGAGGTTCACTTGAAATTACGCTTACAGTCCCTTTAAGGAGATTTTAATTCTGAATCCTAAGTGATGTACTGTGCATGGGACCCATAGAATTATAAAATAGAAGACGATATTTGAGCAATGTTAAGTGTAGTTGATGTTGTTGTACACTGCACAAATTGCTGTGTTATGCATGAAATTATATCTATAAAATCAGAACTTGGTTTTTCTTTGTCAAAATTTTATTAATTTTACTTTATTTTTAGGAACTCGAATTAACCTATTTCTATAAACTTTTCTGCGTACAATTTATTAGAACCAGCAAAACTACAATTGTTTGATAAGAATGCCATGTTATGTATCCATTCAAACCCGTTAGATCACTGTATTTCAAGTTTACCAGTTTACCAGTTTACCAAACTTCATTTCCAATCTCTAAGAAGCAATATATGAGAGAATTAACATACCCAATTAGTATAACGGAAGTGAGCAGAGAGAAGTAACATACTTACCACTTCCTTCCGTTCTCTGAGAAGTTCTAAACTCATTAAATGTAAAGCGAAGTAAACAGGAGAGAAGTAAGATACTCACCACTTCCTCCCTAATCTCTGAGAAGTGCTAGACCCATTTAATATGAAGGAAGTAAGAAGAAATGGGTAAGATATTTACCACTTCCTTCCTGTTATTAGAGAAATGCCTAATCCCAATTAATTTTATGGAAGTAGGAAGAGAGAATTAAGATACTCACCACTTCATTCCCGTTCTCTGAGGAAGTGCTAACCCTAATTAAGGTAAGGGAAGTGAGAAGTACTTTACTTACCACTTCCTCTCCATTTTCTGAGAAGTATTGAGACTGAACAAACTGCTGCGGAGACGGGAATTCTTTTCCTTGTCTTAATCCTAGATTCTGTAGGACAGGGTTCAAGGACGACTTATTCTCAGGCTTCTTCAGCACCTAGGATAGCGGAGGTCGTAGTCAATCTTGGATTAAGGATTTTGGTTCAATCTTGGATCAAGATCAATCTTGGATCAAGATCAATCTTGGATCAAGATCAATCTGGGATCAAGATCAATCTTGGATCAAGATCAATCTTGGATCAAGATCAATCTTGGATCAAGATCAATCTTGGATCAAGATCAATCTTGGATCAAGATCAATCTTTGCGATAAAAAAGCGCTTTTGATCGCTACTAATCTTACTTCTATCTGTTGGGTCTATAGAGAGAAAATTGTTAAAGACGTCTCATACGGAATAACTTAGCGTCCATACAAATTGAGAAAATTGCAACATACGACTTAAACCGTAAAAAGTCATTTTAATTTCAAACAAATCATTCAGATATTACAACCTATAGTCATCGATTATCTTTCGCCACATTTGTATATAGTTTATATTTTATAATATTTTTGATTTCGTTTTTTAAAGATATTTCCCTGGCGCTGGATTTTCGAACATTCCTGGAAAATATGAAAATGTCGTCTTCATTATCAAAAATCCTCGAAAGAGGAATAAAAGTAACTATCATATCATAAAAAATAGAAAATATTATGAAATATCAACTAAATACGAATGCATCGAAAAATTATCGATGATTATTGGTTGAAATAACTGAATGATTTGTTTGAAATTAAATTGATTTTTTACGATCCCAATTATATGTTGCAACTTTCTGCATTTGTATTGACGTTACGTTCTTCGGTATAAGTCGGTTTTAACAATTTGCTCCTTATAGACGCAACAAATAGAAGTAAGATTAGCAGCGATCAAAAGCGATTATTTTACGCATCAAGCCTATACCCCCTTTCATTTTTCGCGAACACTCCCTTTAAGATGCAACTTCAATTCCTATTTAATATCAGACAAATTAGATCTATCAGCAGTCTACCTTGTTTAAAATATCAGAGACCAGATTTAATTAATACTGATATATATATCAATTAATTAAACCACACAGACTAAGGAATTGAGTCTTTGAGACAAACTCTATTTCTATAATTTTGCAACCCAATGTCGTAGACCTTAGATATTTCAAACTGTAAATTCTGTAAGATCAAATAATCAGAGTTTGTGATAAGCTTGACCAGGTTCACAAAAGAAGTGGTTCAACTTTCAACGCAATTCAACTACTTATTTATCAAATCTGGTTCAGATGTAGCATTTCATAAAATTGTTACTGATCTATAGTTATAGTAAAGGCTTTATATCAAACACAAGCTATGCTGGAACAAGGTTTTGTATCAAGCACAAGCTATGCTGGAACAAGGTTTTATATCAAACACAAGCTATGCTGGATAGCGCTCGGCCCAGAAAGTGTCTTAACCTAACCTAACCCTAAATAAATACTAATTTAATTATTTTTCTGGATCTACAAAATTCAATCCCCCTCTCTCTGTTTAGGAATTTTACGGGGCATGTGCGCACAACAGAAAATGGAAAACGCCCATTTATTAGCAGACAATCCATCATTAACGAAAGTAGGGGTCGACACTCCTTGCCACAGTTAAGTGTATCTATGATCATGGGGGAAAAATACTTAAAGGAATTGAACACTGTCTTTGTCTCAACCTTAACGTAACGTAAGCGTAAACCATTGATATTTGAAGGTTGCAACGATATAACTTGCAAGGATTAGAAACCTAGATTCTGAGGCAAGTATTTGATATTTGAAGTAAAATCACAACTTAAGTTTAGAAGTCGTCTTCCTATTTTACATTTGTCTGGGTCCCATTGTAGAAAACACACACAAACCTAAAAGCTGAGGCTTGAACATCCACCTTCTTGTAAGTATCCAACCATGGGAAGACCACCACACGTCCTAAAATATGTATTTGTGGTCGGCGTCTTCGAAAGTCGTCTTCATTGTATTGATATATACGATGACTGTATGCAACAATTTTCATAGAATCCTGCTAATCGAAAAACTTTTTAATTCAGATTCATCTTAAAACCAGCTTTTTACAAGGAAATGTCATTTTGAAACAAAATTTAGAGACAACTGAAGTTTCTATATGCAATTCCTAAAAGATGTAACTTAAAATGAGAGTGGGATGTCAAATTCACAACGAACCCCTTTAAACCTCTGTCTGAGTAAAAACAAGGAAGATTCAGCCTGTTTATAAAAAGTCTCATCAATTTTTAAGACAGGGTCGACTTTGAAGTGTCTCGACGCCTTGGGCTTTCATTTTACTGCTCTAACTCACTTATGCTTTTCTGTAGCTCTTTACATGTACATTTTAGCACTAAAAAGCACGTATTTGCTTTGGTTTTTAAGAAGTAATTACAATATTCTCATCGATATTTGCTTTTCAGGTTGAGACCTTCAAATAACAGCTTGATATTGTCGGTTCAAAGTTTTCACATTTGTCTACATTCTCTCTGAAGCTAAAGTCCTCAAGTCAATTTTACAGAGAATAGGAATGATATCTCATTCATTTTTGATCATACAAAGGTTCAAATGAATTCGAGAAACTCTTATTTTTTAACTCCAGAAAATGTTTCCATAAAATATCGGAATCCGGAGCCTTTAATCACGAACGAATGCCTTTCTTTCCGCAAATATCGGAATTGTTTTCATTAGGTTTCCAAATTTGTGTTAACAGTGCAAAAGGTAAAGGTGTGAATAATATCACTTTATTAAATGAATGTATGGTGCATAATTGCCGAGTGCGCGCAAAACTGATCTTTAGAATTCGCTGAGATTGTCCATTTTGATGAATACATTTTAAGAATCTCTTTAAACCGGGGTGTATGCAAAGGCAAAAAGACCATTTTTAATATAATTTATATGTGGTTAATATTTAAATTTAAATTATTGAAAATCTGAACTCTTTACCATATTTATTTTTTATAATTATTAACAGTAATATTTGTAGAAAATCAAATTAAACCAAGATTTACAGTCATAATAGTAAGAAATTAATGATTAACATATTCAATATTCATAGCTTTATAAATATTGGCTCGTAATTATGTACATCACGGGCAGCCGTAGTACATTTGAATTTCCGAGCCGGGTCAACTTTTCCTGTCCCAGTTTGTACTGAATCGCCCGGTCATTGGTTAAATAATGCAGACAATCAATAGGATGAGCCGGTGCAACAAGGTTAACGCGGTCAGACTTTAGGTTAAATTTAATTTTACTGAAGGGTCAGAGGCCGTTCCTTCCATAAACTACATTGGTTGACAACTTGACGTCTCCTATATTGGTCGTCAAATGTACGGAGAAATATCTATCTAACAGATAAGAATTTAGCATGAGACATCTAGCGGCCAACATATCGTCCCCCAAAGTACGTGAAATACACGACCACTTTCTATGGAGAAAACGGGCTCAGAGGTGCGTGACATTGTACAGGGTTCACAGTCGCAGAGCCAATTTTTCCTTGAAAATCCCCTCCCCTTTATGAAAACTTAATTAGCATTAAGTCCCTAACAAGCTTTAGTCCATTATTCGTTTAAGTCTCTAATCCACTTAAGTCCCTATCAGCTCGAGTCCATAATTAGTCCCAAAGACCCAGGTCTACCTGGTCCTTTGACCCCTGTCATCTTGCCCAGCCTGAACACTATAACCCGGTCAGTCTCTCCTGAAAATAAAGTTCACAAATAAAACTGTAGAAAGTAAAATTATGAAAAATCTTATTTCTTTAATTAATGAATAAATTGTATGTTATCGTGTCGTAAACGGTTTTTATTTAAAATGAAAAATGAATAAGTTAAAAATAATTATGAAAGTGCACTTTACTCTATTCAATAATACAGAATAGGACCTATCATGATGATTAGTAGTACTACTTTTAGGCACTATTATTATTATGTTTTAATAAATCAATTTTTACCAGAATTGCTCTAAAATCAATGTCAATCTATTCGAAGAGTGTAAGCATTATTCGATACTTCAACATATTACATAACTCTAATTTGATTTCAAATCATTTCTTCTTTAATCTTCAATATCTCTTTTTTTGATTTCGTCAAATTTTAGTATTTATTTCATGCAAGCATTCAACAAAAAAATCATTTCTCTCTCTCTCTTTTCTATTTACTTTTTATATTTAGCTTCTTTATTGAAAGTAATTTTAATAATTAATATCTTGTGATTTGAATAAATACTTCTTAATAAAATCTCTTCTCTGACGCATTTTTGAAAATATTGTGACGCAGATTAGTTTATTTTTACACATTGTATAAATAAATTCAATTAAATTTGTGTTAAATGAAGTGTTACCCAAAACTTACACGATGCCTTAATTTTCTAGTTTAGTATCATAACTAAACAAATCTTACCGCTCAAAGAGTGATCACTTTAACAGGCGCTCGCGGTTAGAAACATCTTTCAGCTGTAAGATGAACTTACATATGAATATAAGTGTAAGTGTAAGTAAGTGTAATTTCAAGTAACCCTCCAAAAAAAAGATGATAATGCCAGATTTACAACGTTATCCTTGAAACTTTTATCATATCAAACATGTGTAAGATATTCACGTTTTTCAGAATCGAAAGTATTTTTTTCTGTGATATTCTCCATTGCTTCTTACAAAAATGAACGTAAGTCACTTTCGCAGAGGAATCGCAAATGAAAAAAAAAGTTTAAAAAAACATTTATATCTAATTCATACTTGATCAGACAATGATCTTAAGGGTGCCTTTGTGAATCTGGCATTGCCATCTTTGCATGGAGGGTCACTTAAAATTAAGCGTACAGTCCTTTAAATAAATACTTACTAAGTGTGAGTACACAAACCACACAGAGAATAGAAACCCAAGAAATAAGATCAAATACTTACTTAGTGTGAGTACACAAACCACATAGAGAATATAAACCCAAGGAATAAGATCAAATACTTACTAAGTGTGAGTACACAAACCACATAGAGAATAGAAACCCAAGGAATAAGGTCAAATACTTACTTAGTGTGAGTACACAAACCCAATAAAGAATAGGGAACCCAAGGAATAAGATCAAATACTTACTTAGTGTGAGTACAAAAACCACATAGAGAATATAAACCCAAGGAATAAGGTCAAACACTTACTTAGTGTGAGTACACAAACCCAATAGAGAATAGGGAACCCAAGGAATAAGATCAAATAGGAAGCACTGGAGTACATATTCATTTTTTTTAAATCGGCTTTTTAGTTTGTCTCATCCAATAAACGTCAAAACAGCTAAACAAATCTGGCCCCAAACTTTTTGTGGCAACTCACATGATCCCAAGAAAGGTTTACGGACGCTTAAATATGAACAAATTAAGATTTTTTTAATCAAAAAACACCCTATTTATGTTAACAGAAAAAAACGTCAAATTTTGAGTCTTACAATCAATAAGAAAAAGTGGTCGCTTAAAAAGCAACATCTATGTAACCGAAATTGTTGACAGAAGAGGTGCGCGAAGCACCCTGATAGCCTAATATTATCTGAAAGGAACTGAACACTCGCCACAAAATCTAATATTCTAATCCCCATATCTCTGCAACCTGTTGTTGTAAACCCCAGATGAAATTTACAACTTTAACATCACCAGGCTACAAAGATACAGGCGTTAGTAATGAGTGTTTTTAGTGAATTTCATAGACTAATCTCAATTCAGCGAATATAATACTTTAAACGCCCCCCCCCCAAAAAAAAATGAGGGGAAAATGATTTTCAAAAGTGGGAATTTTAAAATTGTGTTTTGACATTTAATAACTTGACTTTTCAACTTTATTTTATGGGCCACTGAAAAATTGCTTTAAGAGGTTAAAGATAAAAGTGTCAAAAACACTTAAGGGAGGGGGGGGGGGGGGGGGGCCCAAAAAACCCTTTAGAGTCAAACTATTAATTGTCTTCAGGAAGTGTCAAAAAACTAGAAGGGAGGGGGGCGCCCCAATAGTCACTCAGAGTAAAACAAATGATTTTTTCAAGGAGTGTCTCCACTTTATTCCAGGGACCACTGTATTCTATGGACCACTGTATTCCAAGGACCACTGTATTCTATGGACCACTGTATTCCAAGGACCACTGTATTCTATGAACATGTTCCTGGTGAGAAAATAAGAGAGAAGAATAAGAGGAGATGCAACCTGGCTTTTCTCTCCTTCTACATACTAAACAATTAAAAATTAGAATCTCTCGTCCTATCAATAGGGATGGGCGTCGTTCCAGGAAAACGATAGTTTTTTCACGGGAACGATCGGAGTTATCAGGGACAATCCCATGAAAAAAATGAACACATAGAACTCGTTCTTAAAAATACAGGAACGATTATTAAAAGAACGAACGTGGAACGAACGAAAATTACTTGGTAAGAACGTTAAAACCAGGAACCCATTATAAGTCAGGAACACATTTTAAATCTGGAGCGTGCATGGGCCGAACGAGGCCCCCCTCTTATGTCAACTGTATGTCTACTGTGTGTCTACTGTATGTCTACTGTATGTCTACTGTATGTCTACTGTATGTCTACTGTATGTCTACTGTATGTCTACTGTATGTCTACTGTATGTCTACTGTATGTCTACTGTATGTCTACTGTATGTCTACTGTGTGTCTACTGTAAGTCTATTGTATGTCTACTGTATGTCTACTGAATTTCTACTGTCTATTGTATGTCTACTGTATGTCTACTGTATGTTCATGGCTAACTATAATAATAACCTTATAATAATCAGCTTCCATGTTATTGCGAGCTTTTTCAAACTTAAAAACAGATTTAAAATTTTTTCCATTGTTCCGTTCTTCAAATTTAAATGCCGAATCAAAACTGAACGCTTTCTTGGCATAATCTGATGGCTCACAGTCTGTTGTAGGAAGAGGCGAATAATTACTACTTGATTTGAAAAACCAAGACATTCTAAAACGATTTCTGAAAGAAAAAAAAAACAATAATTTCAAAAGAGAGTTCCTTCCAGAGACTGTAATGTAAGATTCATAAACTTTTATTAAAAACCTTCATCTGATCAATAATGTGGAAGATATTGTTGTTTTTCTACGTTGAAAAGTATTTATTAATTCTGATCATTACATAATTTCCTGCAATAGAGAAATCACTTTTTGTAAGATCTTTAAATAACCATTTTTTTCAATTTAAAAAAATTATATCTAATTCATCCTTGAACAGACAAAGCTTTAAAGCGCAAGCTGTTAATCAAAATAAATAGAAATAACAACAAACTTTTGTTAAAATGTAAACAAACCCGCAAAATGTTCTAACAAAACATGAAAGAATTGGACATCTTTACTATTTTAAATTAAACTTCAAAATCTATCACGGTTCGCTTCATCTTAAGAATTTTTAATTTTTAAATTCTGAATCCATGACAATTGGGTATGAAAGGTAACCAGGCCTGTAGCCTTTATACCTTTCTGCCTGGATTATGACTGCAACTGGATCAATATTTTTGTCTGCTCTTACTCACTATATCATCTGACGGCTTTCTTCGAGTCTAGTGTTCAACACAAAACAATTCGAGTCTAGCTAACGATATATTGATAATAAATATTCTATTTTTGGAAGATTACAACTGCTTTTTTTTGCTTTGAATTCTTAAACAAAACATGAAAAAGGGCGTAGACAGGGGGAGGGGGGGGGCGTTAGAATTCTCAGCCCATTCATCAGGGTTTCAATTCCCCCATCCGTCCCCAGGAAAGTTAAAACATGTGAAGCCCCCCCCCCCGTCCCCTTACAAAATCCAGTAAGTACACCCCTTCCTTGAAACTATATAAAGGAACCCAAAACTGTTCATGAATTTAGGCAGATAAAGGCCCAAGATAAAAATTAAGAAAATCAGGGGCTTTGTCAGGAATTTGTCCTTGGGGGGCTCTGGGGGGTGACTTGCATTTTTTTTCCAGGCGGGTGATCAGCACCAATTGGCGCCCCCTTGATGAAATCCATATAGATTTAATTGTTCCAGGGGGGGGGGGCTCAGTTCCGCATAGACTTCCCCACCCTAACTGAACGTCTGAAGAAAATATAAATAAAAAATGAAGGGGGGGGGGTGGCAGGATTCTTTTATAGGGTCTGTACTCTGTAAAAATGCCTTTAAACTTTAAATATTTACACTTTTGAAAAGTAAAACTATTTCAGTCGAGCTATTGAATATTTTAAAACAGGGTGAGTCAAAAAAAATGAGTGTAGTTTTTAAATATTTAAATCCCTACATCTTTGCAACCTGTTAGTTTAAACAATTGATATTTCAAACTTAAATACATTTGATCTAACAGAAATGAATTCATAAATTAAAATATCTGATGTCTGTAATATCAAGCTGCTTTTAGGATTTGATAGAAATAATATCTATTATTGTTATTTTTGTTTTTCTGCTTATGTAATTTTGATACAAAAAATTCCGCGGAAATTTTTTGGGCCTTTCTAAAACAGACAAGAAAAATATCATAAAAATGAATTTCACGAAAAAATGTTGTTTAATACTTAGATTAATACATTTGAACTATAGATATTGAATATTTTAACTTCTGAATACTTGAACTATTAAATATTTGAACAATTGACCCCAAGGACAAATTCCTGACAAAGCCCCTGATTTTCTTAATTTTTATCTCGGGCCTTTATCTGCCTAAATTCATGAACAGTTTTGGGTTCCTTTATAGATTTCAAGGAAGGGGCATTATATATACTGGATTTTGTATAAGGGGACGGGGGGGGGGGGGGGGCTTCACATCGATCTTACAGTCCCTTGAAGGAACTCTATTTTGAAAGTAGTGTTTTTTTCTTTCAGAAATCGTTTTAGAATGTCTTGGTTTTTCAAATCAAGTAGTAATTATTCGCCTCTTCCTACAACAGACTGTTTGCTATAGCTACATGGACGCTCAAGCTTCCTCAACTTCAACCTTTAATAACTCACAAAGCTTTGAAATTTGAGGTCATGAATCTTGGAGCATTTCCGCGTCGGCATGCAAAGTTTCCAGGCTGTAGCTTCAAAACTCTAGGCGTGAGCCAAATTGAGCCAGATTATAAACCTGGGCGTCATCTCAAGATCCATACAAAAATTGACAATCTTAATCTTTTTGTTATAAACTCGTCAATTTTGACTTTTTTTCAATTTTTTTTTGAATAATACTCAGCTGGAGTTGAGAAATCTAAAACATGTTTTGATTTTAAAATTGGTCAAAAGCTTATTTGATATATTGAATATTTGAACTATTGAATATTTGAACTATTGAATATTTGAACTATTGAATATTTGAACTATTGAATATTTTAACTATTGAATATTAGAACTATCAAATATTTAAACTATTGAATATTTGATATATTGAATATTTGAACTATTGAATATTTGAACTATTGGATATTTGAACTATTGAATATTTGAACTATTCAATATTTGAACTATTAAATACCCTAGAAACCAGCGACGTCGTGCGACCAGTCCCATTAGGTCGAGATAGGTCAGGTTAGGTCGGGTTACGTCAGATTACCAAACTGGTCAAAACATGACCAGTCCCCCAGGTCGTGTTTGGTCAGTTTAGGTCGGGTTAGGTCGAGTTACCTAACTGGTCTCATACTGGTNTTGGACGTCAAAAGTTTGGTCATTTGAACGTCAAAAGTTTGGTCATTTGGACGTCAAAAGTTTGGTCATTTGGACGTCCAAAGTGACGTCATTTCGACTTCGAAAGTTTGGTCGTGAGGACGTAAGAATCCTTGCGTTAAACGTCCTCAACACGTCCTCAACACCTAAAATATGACGTCGCCGGACGTCGCACTGGTAATTGTTGACGTCCCCATGACGACCTTAGGACATCCTCTGGTTTCTAGGGTATAAGAACTATTGAATATTTGAACTATTCAATATTTGAACTATTCAATATTTGAACTATTGAATATTTGAACTATTTTATATTTGAACTATTGAATTTTTGAACTATTCAACATTTGAACTATTTAATATAAGAACTATTGAATATTTGAACTATTAAATATAAGAACTATTAAATATTTGAAATATTGAATATTTGAACTAATGAATATTTTAACTATTTTATATTTGAACTATTAAATATTTGAACTATTAAATATTTGAACTATTGTATATTTGAAAAATTGAATATTTGAACTATTGGATATTTGAACTATTGAATATTTGAACTATTGAATATTTGAACTATTAAATATAAGAACTATTGAATATTTGAACTATTGAATATTTGAACTATTCAATATTTGAACTATTGAATATTTGAACTATTTTATATTAGAACTATTGAATATTTGAACTATTCAACATTTGAACTATTAAATATAAGAACTATTGAATATTTGAACTATTAAATATAAGAACTATTGAATATTTGAAATATTAAATATTTGAACTATTAAATATTTGAACTATTGAATATTTACACTTTTAAACATTTGAAATATTGAATATTTGAACTATTGAATATTTGAACTATTGAATATTTGAACTATTGAATATTTGAACTATTTTATAAATTTGAACTATTGAATATTTGAACTATTGAATATTTGAACTATTGGATATTTGAACTATTGAATATTTGAACTATTCAATATTTGAACTATTGAATATTTGAACTATTTTATATTTGAACTATTCAACATTTGGACTATTAAATATAAGAACTATTGAATATTTGAACTATTAAATATAAGAACTATTGAATATTTGAAATATTGAATATTTGAACTAATGAATATTTGAACTATTAAATATTTGAACTATTAAATATTTGAACTATTGTATATTTGAAAAATTGAATATTTGAACTATTGGATCTATGAACTATTAAATATGTGAACTATTGAATATTTGAACTATTAAATATTTGAACTACTAAATAATTGAACTATTAAATATTTGAACCAATGGATATTTGAACTATTATATTTGAACTATTGAATATTTGAACTATTGAATATTTGAACTATTGAATATTTGAACTATTAAATATTTGAACTATTGAATATTTGAACTATTCAATATTTAAACTATTAAATATTTGAACTGTTGAATATTTGAACTATTGAATATTTGAACTATTGAATATCTGAACTATTGAATATTTGAACTATTCAATATTTAAACTATTGAATATTTGAACTATTAAATATTTGAACTATTCAATATTTGAACTATTCAATATTTAAACTATTCAATATTTAAACTATTAAATATTTGAACTATTGAATATTTGAATTATTAGATATTTAAACTATTGAATATTTGAACTATTAAATATATAAACTATTAAATATTTGAACTATTGGATATTTGAACTATTAAATATTTGAACAGTTGAATATTTGAAATATTGAATATTTTAACTATTGAATATTTAAACTACTGAATATTTGAACTATTGGATATTTGAACTATAAAATATAAGAACTAATGGATATTTGTACTATTAAATATAATAACTATAAATTCTAACAAAAAATGAATACATTAATATTTGAACTCTTGAATAGGTGAAATATTAAATGTTTGAACGATGATTTTTTGAAAAATTGAATATTTTAACTTTTAAATATTTTTATTATTAAATATTTGATTTACTATATGATTAAAAAAAAATAAAAATAAAATGTATAAAAAGACAATCAAAAAAAATTTAAAGGGACTGTAAACGTATTTTCAAGTGATCTTCCGTGCAAAGATGCAATCATGTAATGCCCAATTCAGGACAATATACCTTTGAAACCATTATCTGATCGATAATGTGGAAGATATTGTCGTTTATCTAGGTTTAAAAGTGTTTAATTCCTATATGCTTTCATGCAGTAAAAATGCGCAAGTCACTATTGTAGACATAGGCGGTTTCAGGGGGGGATGACAGTCCATTACACCCCTAGGTGAAATTACGGGGGGGGGGGTCCTCCTGGATTTTTACAAAGTCATTACTCCGAAAGCTTTTGACCCATGAAACAGGTCACCTATGACTACCGACAGGTTGGTCAAGCTGGAAAGAATGGCGATGCACCCATTTTAAATGCCTTTATTTCTGGTGGTCCAAGAAAACTTAATTATCGTAGATTGAAAGGATTTTTTTTAACAAAAAATTCTTTTCTTACTTTCAGCCTTCTTATGGTATGCTTTTCTTTTTAACTCTAAAAAAAATCATAAAAATTTGGATAATTTAACCCTATAAAGGTTGGGGGGTCTAAATCAATGTATAGCCTGGGAGGGGCGTCGGCCACGCCCCCCCCCCACCCTAGAAAAAGATCATAAAAAATATATATAACATACATAATATAAAATAAAAAATAATAAAATATTTTTTTTTGTTTTAAACAAATATCAAAGTGTGACAAATGTTTTACATCCATTTTTCAGATCAGTATATTAAGTCACAAAAAATTACAAATTGCAAACTCTTTATATCCCGGGTAATTTAAACGCACAAAAAAGGCAGACCACGTTTTGGAATTGACAGGACAAGGGCTATTATGTTATTATCGTTTCATTTATCATATTGTAAAATTATATTGTAAAGTCGTCTGATTAATTATAAATTAATTCCGGGACTTTCAGATTTTGAATTTGTTTCCAATTTATGGAATTGCTTTTTCTCTCTATTCTTTTATAATACAACTTCTTTGTTAACTTTTTAAATTTTATCCTAACTTAATTTACTTTCTTATATGAAGAAAACCAAGCATTAGGCTCAACTTTTTTTTAACGAGAAGATTTAGGAAAATAAACTTAACATTAAATATGAGGTTTATATTGATTAAAAATTAAAAACTAAAAACTTCACATAAAAGTTATATTTTCTAAAAGAAAACAATTATCAAACATTATATACCTTTATTAATTGTACGAAAAAAACTTTAATATTAATAATAACTTGGGCTAATGTAAATTGTCTATATTGGCAAAAATTAGGTTTTCACTCTCGCAGATAGAAAAACTAATTTATTTCGATGTACATATTTTTATATTCTCATCAATCCTACAGAAAATTACCACATTTATAACATAATTAGTTAAATGAAAAAGTATAACAATAAAAAAGGCAAAATACAGAAAAAATTTAAATAAATCCTGTTAAAAATAGGGAAATTTTTTATTTGATTGTAAGCATTTTGGTCAACCTTTAAGAATGGGGGTTTTAATAAAACTATAAGGAGGTGTATATGAAATACGGGGGAGGGAGGTTGGAAAGAGGTTGACCGTTATAGGATACAAAATTACGAAATTTGGGGAAAAACGACAGGCCCCTCCCCCCCCCCAAGACTAGGACAGGCTATTTTATTTGGCGTAGGTCAGAAATTGAGTATAGCGGATTTTCGTAGGTCGAAAAATACACCAGAGCTTGACCTTATCATTATCGTTAATCCGAGGTTTCGTGATCTCTTCGAGTCTAGACTCCTGCATTTTACCGGGATAAATTGGAGAATTCAGCTGTTGAGGAAAATGGCCCTTGCACTTTGCGTGTGTGAAAAAATATGTTTTTTAAAATTGAAATACATCAGTGTTAGGACAGAGTTTCAATCTCAAATCGAGTGATAAAGTGTGACTGAGAAAAGAATTTAGCTTTTATTCTTATTTTCATCCGGTGTCCCAACCTATTGCTATGTAAAGCACATGCAATGCTTCAAAAGTGTGATATTTAAAATAATTTCAGATTTCTTAATATGTTTGCTTGGAATTGGTAAAAGATTGCTCGCCGTGTATCAGGTATCTATCTACCAGTCTGTTTTGTCTGATGCATATTATGCATCAAACGCTGAAAAGAGTAAATAGGAATTGAATTGTTTAAATCGTCTTTCGGAAATGTTAATTTAAACAACTTGGGTCTAAAGGACTTTTGGACCCCGCCCCACCCCCTCCCCATCATTTTTTTCATTAAAGACAATTTCGGGGCCGAGCGCCGCGGTTAGGATAGGCTAGGGGCCGGGCGCTGCGACCACATGGCCAATAGGGTCTGTCTTATAGAGATATCCATGTGCTACATATAAGATCCATGTACAAAATTGGGGGTCTGTCCTAGAGAACGATTTTTGAATATTTATTTTGTATTATTTCATTTTCTTTTTTTTTCGCTACAGAGGTTTGGTCCATCACCATCACCGAATTATAAATCACTGATTTACTGTTTGTAGGTGTGGTGGGTGGAACCCTCCCCTACTCCTCTACAGCGGAGGATGTGAATAATAAACCCAACTATACCGCTAGATGTCACTATAAACAGGTATATACAATCCTCCCCTTCTCCTCTACAGCGGAGGATGTGAATAATTAACCCAATTATACCGCTAGATGTCACTATAAACAGGTCAATATTGGGTTAAAGGAATTGAGTCTTTGCAACAAATTCGCATTTTCTGAACCCTTATTTACAACCTAATAGTTCTTTGACACTTCATTCTTGAATATTTTATCTAACAGAAATATTTGGATTGGATTGGTGAAATAATTATAAAATGTATGTTCAGGTTGTGTTCAGTAATGATAAAATGTATGTTCAGGTTGTGTTCAGTAATTATAAAATGTATGTTCAGGTTGTGTTCAGTAATTATAAAATGTATGTTCAGGTTGTGTTCAGTCCTGATGAAATAAAAAGACGGTCAGCGGAGTTTAACCAGGATAAGTCAAGCCAGGGAATCATTTTAACGAACAAGAAAACCGGGGCAAATTATTTGAACAAAGCTTTCGTAAATGCATTAACAACATTATATTCTTTAAAATAAAGTTTTTGTCTCCAGTTTTTATACGCAGTTCTTTTATGTGGTTTTATTCAATTATCCCGGCCAATTTAATGCATTTGAGATGAAAATTATCTGCAAAATTTTATGGTGTTTGATCAGTGCTTAGGATCCGTTGGATCCGGAAGATTTTGGCTTCCTGGATCCGGATCCAAGGGGTAAATACAAAGAGAAAAGAAAATATATTAGAGGGGAATTTGCTAGAAAAAAGTGTAAAACTGCCATTTTGTTGTACTGTTTCCATACTGCAGGTGTACTTCACAAATTTATGCTATATACAGGGTGGCCAAAATGTACGGATTGTACGGATTGTACGGATTGATTTTTTTTTTACCCTAAAATTGTACGGATTGTACGGATTGCACGGATTGTACGGATTTGTTTTCAAATTGTACGGATTGTACGGATTTTATCCTGGAAAATACACCGTTTTTTTTAAATTTTCACTCATTTCAGCAAATTTTTCATGAAAATAAAAAAAAAATTATCGTCAAAATGAAGTTAGTTTAACTTATTTTCTGCATTCTAAATAATATTAGATTGATTAATGTTTCAATTGACAATCAAAATTCATTCATAATTTTCGAGATATGTCCAAGAAGTGTTTATTTGAGAATATGTTCCATAAGTACTTATTTGATTGCTTATTCAAGAAGATGTTCCAGTATCCTNCACTTTACAAACGATGATTTTCCGTTATAACTATAAATCAAATGATGTTTTTTATTCACCTAATTCATTATAAAGTTTATTTAACAGCTTTTAAAAAATTCGAAATTGAAATGAATAGTCTAGGGAACATACTGTATTAATGTACTCTACTGCATATAATTTGTGAACATTTACACGATTTGTACACTTTGAACTCCCTTTCAGGCTGAAAGGTACTAAAAAATTTCATACCGAGAGATTCTCTAAATTCCCCTCTAAAGTATATTCTATTCTGTATGGTAAAATATCAACCTAAAACTACAGAAACAAAATTTTACTCATAAAACCCAAATCTGATTTTTTGAAAAAAGAGAAATGATAAGAATTTCCTCATTCCTGAATGGTTTAACAAGTTTTAGGATATAAATAAGCGAAAAAAATAAAACTAAAAGTTTGAAAATTATTTTTTTGTTAAAGAAATTCAGTAAATCTTAAAGAAATGACCTTTATCCGGATCCGGAACCGCATCAAAATTAGATGGATCCTAAGCACTGTTTTTGATCAGATCTGTTTTAGATCTTATTTCGTATAAATGTTTTTAAGAAGCATTTTTGGAGTGTAATCGATTCCTAATTATTATAATTTGATGGTTCTCCAAAAAGTAAAATGATTAAACTATCCAGACAAAACCGGTTCTAGAGGGAACTAAGTTGATCAACTCTTCAGATTTGGTTAAAATCGATCAAGCAAAGATCGATGATCATTTGAGTAAATCGGATCAAGATCAAACTAAACCTCAGCTCAGAGATACGAGGTATGGTTCTATTTTTTATTCAAGGATCTTTTTTAGTAGCCACAATTGAAATTAGCCAATTTTGTTTATCTTCATTGATCAGAATAAAGAAAGGTAAAATGGATTCACAAGATTTTGGCCTCCTGGATCCGAATCCGCAAAAATATGCGTATCCACGGGGCAAAATATCAACCAAAAACCTCAAAAAAAAAATTTACTTACAAACCCCAAATTTACAATTTACCACTTGCTGCTTTCTTCGTCACTGTTACTTCTGATAAAAGGGTGTATCTTTGTAAATCCAGCATTCAACTCGATAAATAGAGGGTTAAAGGAAATTACCTGAACTGGTCCCTTAATTAACACATTGTTTCTACTCTAGCCCTTTAATAACACATTGTTTCTACTCTAGCCCTTTAATATTTCTACTCTAGCCCTTTAATATCACATTGTTTCTACTCTAGCCCTTTAATAACACATTGTTTCTACTCTAGCCCTTTAATAACACATTGTTTCTACTCTAGCCCTTTAATAACACATTGTTTCTACTCTAGCCCTTTAATAACACATTGTTTCTACTCTAGCCCCCCGGAGGAATATTTAGAAGAAGCAAATCCAGAACAGTCTCATCATTTACCTGAGGTATTTGTCTTATTCAGATTATAGGCATGGTTTTTGTTAAATTGTGATTTATCAAAACTAAGGATTCCTAACCTTTGATTTAGAAAAAGAAAAAACAATTGATACCAATTTGATGTTTTTTCAAACGAGAAACGAAATAATATTTTCGGTATAAAGTGAAAACAATCTTTTTTGGTAATTTCCCAAAGTAAGATTTAAGAAAATTCTGATCTGAAATGAGATTTAGTTCGTCCTGAAAGGGAGTGAAAGGGGGTGTAGGCTGATATCGAACTTAATACGATCTTGATCGTTACCAATTTTACTTGTGTTCTGTTGCGTCATTGAGGAGATAAGCTTTAAAAGCACACAAGAGCTTAGCGTCCATACAAATTCTCGTAGCTGCATTAGTCCAGGCCAGTAACTAGGAATTTGTAAGGGGAAGGGGGGGGGGGCTCAAATGTTCAAGATAGCATAGATAAAAGTAAGGTGCGGGCTTCAGACAAAATTTTTTTTGGACCTGGAAAAGTTTATAAGGGTCAACATTAATGAATGAATTAAGACTAAAAAACTAGATTTTTCACTTATCCCACATTATAGTATATTAAGATAGATATTTTGCCTGTTTTCTTTCCCGTAAGTGCTATTGAGAAGCTATTAGTATCAAAACAACAAAAACTGGAATATTTCCCCCGTGTACCCGCGCTTAAACAAACCTTTTGACTTGGCATTCAGAGCACTTGGCAGAAATATCACTGGACCAACATCAACCTCTGACCATCGTCAAGTAGTTTTTACTTCAGGATAAATTAATGTTGTCGCTGGCGGAACGGCAGGAGTTGGCGGAGAATGCTATGGAAGAGCTAGCTAGTGGTCTCAATAGAGCAGCACAGGCTATGAAGGTAGTATAAAGCTAGCTAGTGGTCTCAATAGAGCACAACAGGCTATGAAGGTAGTCTAGCTAGTGGTCTCAATAGAGCAGTACAGGCTATGAAGGTAGTATACAGCTAGCTAGTGGTCTCAATAGAGCAGCACAGGCTATGAAGGTAGTACATAGCTCGCTAGAGGTCCCAATAGAGCAGAATAGGCTATGAAAGTAGTACATAGCTAGCTAGTGGTCTCAATAGAGCAGCACAGGCTATGAAGGTAGTATATAGCTAGCTAGTGGTCTCAATAGAGCAGCACAGGCTTTGAAGGTAGTATACAGCTAGCTAGCGGTCTCAATAGAGCACCACAGGCTATGAAGGTAGTATACAGCTAGCTAGTGGTCTTAATAGAGCAGCACAGGCTATGAAGGTAGTATAAAGCCAGCTAATGGTCTCAATAGAGCACCACAGGCTATGAAGGTAGTATACAGCTAGCTAGTGGTCTTAATAGAGCAGCACAGGCTATGAAGGTAGTAAACAGCTAGCTAGTGGTCTCAATAGAGCAGCACAGGCTATGAAGGTAGTATACAGCTAGCTAGTGGTCTCAATAGAATAGCCCAGGCTATGAAGGTAGTATACAGCTAGCTAGTGGTCTCAATAGAGCACAACAGGCTATGGAGGTAGTATACAGCTAGCTAGTGGTCTCAATAGAGCACAACAGGCTATGGAGGTAGTAAACAGCTAGCTAGTGGTCTCAATAGAGCAGCACAGGCTATGAAGGTAGTAAACAGCTAGCTAGTGGTCTCAATAGAGCAGCACAGGCTATGAAGGTAGTATACAGCTAGCTAATGGTCTCAATAGAGCAGCACAGGCTATGGAGGTAGTAAACAGCTAGCTAGTGGTCTCAATAGAGCAGCACAGGCTATGTAGGTAGTAAATAATTAGCTACTGGTCTCAATAGAGCTGCACAGGCTATGAAGGTAGTAAATAACTAGCTAGTGGTCTCAATAATTGAGTAATACAGGCTATGTGCTTAAGTACAGATCCTGAACATGAGGTGTGCATATTCTCAAGAATGCAGGGGAAATGTGAAAAATTGGGCATTGAACATCTTGGGAACATCAAATAATTTCCTAGAGGGGAGAAAAATGGATTGGGATGATTTTAATGAAAATACTGCGAGACCCATAAATCTGTGGAAGAGGAAGACGACTTTCAAACACAAGTTATAATTTTAGATATCACTTAACATGAACTACAGTAATTATACAGTCTCACAGACTCCTTTCACCTAATACTTTTAAGCTACCGGTGAAATAAATTGATTTTTAGCCACATCTAATGCATAAAAGGTTATTTAACTGTCTGCCTATTCCACAGTTATGGGGTTCACTGTGCATATCCCTGCTTAAGTTTTGATAAGTATTCGGATATTAAGACATTATAGAGATGACATTTCATAGAAAGACATTTCTTAAATTTAGGACATTTCATAGAAAGAACAATTATTATGAAATGTCCTGTGTATGAAAATGTCCTATCTTTAAAATGTCTAATCTATGAAATGTCCCATTACTGTTTTGATGTGTTTGAGGAAAAGTAAGCCTGGCATTTATTTGCAAATAAATGTTGTCCCAGGAATTCTACTGCAGGCCTTCTAGAAATATCAGAGGGAATAATATGTGACAAAACAATTCGGAGAAGTTCAAACTGTCATAATTCGTGTCAATTTATCTTGTCAAATGAAATCAATTTTTAATCAATTACCTTGCCGGCCCAAAACAAATCAATTTTTAATCTATTATTTTTAACTTTGTCGTAACAAATAAATTTTTAATAATTTTTCTTGTCCATTTAAATCAAATTTTAATCAATTAATTAATTATAACAAATCAATTTTTAATCAATAACCTTGCAAAAACAAATTAATTTTTAATAAATAATCTTGTGAAAACAAATTAGTTTTTAATCAGTTTTTTTTATTTTTAAATACTTAACCTTAACTTTCTTATAGTCATCTTTATTCTTATATCTTATCTAATCTTATTTTAGAATAACGAGGAGTCCTCGGATTTGGGGGATTTACAGGATACGGTAGGTTTAATTTGGTTTAATTTTATCAGAGGTCGCAACTTTGGATAAAATGTTGGCAATTTTCAACCCTTAAACACTTTTAATTTGTAAAAAACAGCCGTCTTATTTGCCTTGATCAGTTTTTGGCTTCTGGTATTTAGACCCTGAATAGAAATCCCCCCNCCAAATTAAAAATATAATCCGTCGGTGGTAATAAGTAATAAGTAATGGATATTGAATATTCACCGAAGACTGAGAAATCGAAAGCAATGGTGGCAGATAAATTGAAATTCAATGCATTGCTAGGAAACAAATATTATATTTAGGAGTTGCATCAGCTCTTGGAGGAAGCATACAACTTCAATTTAAACAAATATTATATTTAGGAGTTGCATCAGCTCCTGGAGGAAGCATACAACTACAATTAAAATAATATTGTATTTACGAGTTGCATCAGCTCCTGGAGGAAGCATACAACTACAGTTAAAATAATATTGTATTTAGGAGTTGCATCAGCTCCTGGAGGAAGCATACAACTACAATTAAAATAATATTTTATTTAGGAGTTGCATCAGATCTTGGAGGAAGCATACAACTTCAATTAAAACAAATATAATATTTAGGAGTAGCATCAGCTCCTGGAGGAAGCATACAACTACAGTTAAAACAAATATTATTTTAAGGAGTTGCATCAGCTCCTGGAGGAAGCATACAACTACAAAGCAATTAAAAAAGATAGACATGGTCTCAGTGGAACATTTAAGGTAAACAACTGATCCTTTTTATCCAAATTTTGTCTCATTCTGCGTTTTAACATGTCTTCCCCCCCCCCCCTGTATATATATGTTTATTTGTATGTATGGATAAATGATCATAAATCATTAACCCTAGAACCGATTTGCCTCAAGTTTTAATGAAGAACTCAGAACCACAGTAATGTTTTTAGGTTGGTTTAAAACCTCCAGGTTGAGTTGGTTGACTTTTATCGGTTCCCAAGCTAGTGTTTTATCCTGGATGACCATTTTAGGAAAGTTAGCAAAGAGTCTCTTAAAAGAAAGGATTGTCTCCAAGGGAAATAGTTTTTGGTGTACTGTTTATTGATAAGCCAGTTCTGAGCCATGATAAGTCAGGAGCTGCCGACCACAGCAGTGGTGATAGTCCTGGTTACTGTATACTTAAGTATTCGTTTTTAATTTTAAATCAACTTTTAAATCTACGCTGCGTTTTTTATTCACAGGACTAATTAAAGTCGTAAATTGAGACTTAACAGTCGTCTTCTTAATTCACAGTAACGTGGGTCCCTCTGCACTGTAAATTTTTTATATATACTAGCTTGAGAACCAAGCTTGGTCTGAAAATTTAACTAATTTTTTAAAAGTCAATGTTTGAACCTTTTCAAACTTAAATTTAAAAATCAAGCTAAGGTCATACAAGTTGTTCCTTCGAGTTACCCAATCAAAATTTAAAGCGAATCAGTCAAGGGTTTCATGAGTTATGATTTGACATACAAACAGGCAAACAGAGATTGCCACTTCACATTTATATTATATATAAAGATGCATATTTCCCTGTGTACATATGTTTATAATATATCCCTGCAAAAATCCCCACAGAATGACTTGCAATAATGCCTGTAACATCCCGTCAAATACTCTAAGGAGGGGGAATATTTATGTCCCTGGGAAATAGATGGATAGATAGAAAAACAGATATATAAATAGAAAACAGATATATATATAGATGGATAGATAGAAAAACAGATATATAAATAGAAAACAGATATATAAATAGATGGATAGATAGAAAAACAGATATATAAATTGAAAACAGATATATAAATATATGGATAGATAGAAAAACAGATATATAAATAGATGGATAGATAGAAAAACATATATATAAATAGATGGATAAACAGATATATAAATAGATGGATAGATAGAAAACAGATATATCAATAGAAAACAGATATATAAATAGATGGAAAAACAGATAAATTAATAGAAAACAGATATATAAATAGATGGATAGATAGAAAAACAGATATATCAATAGAAAACAGATATATAAATAAATGGATAGATAGAAAAACAGATAGATAGAAAAACAGATAGATAGAAGAACAGATAGATAGAAGATAAGATAGATTGAAGAACAGATACAGATATATATATATAAACGATAAAAAGGATTGATTGATATAAAAATGGATAGATAGATATAAAAAGGATTAAAAGTTATAGAAATAGATAGAGAGATATAAAAACAGTAGATAGATATAAAAACAGTTAGATGGGTAAAAAACAGATATATAAATGGAAAACAGATGATATGAAGAAAAACAGATGATATAAAGAAAAACTGAAAATATAAAGAACAGAAAATAAAAATAAAAACAGATAATATGAAGAAAAACAGATAATATAAAGAAACACGGATAATATGAAGAAAATCGGATAATATAAAGAAAAACAGATAATATAAAGAAAAACAGAAAATTAAAAAAAATGAATAGATATAAAGAAATATAGAAAAAAGAGGAGATTGTGGAGACCCTGGATTACCAGCTGACTGCCGGAAACTCTGAAGACCAAACCAAACATATTTATTCAATATAGTTTTTCTCATGTTGTAAGTTAGACAAAATATATACAGTTAGTCTGGTTTATATCTTTGTTATTTTGCGTCGCTACAAGATAACCGCAAATTGGTAAATCAGATAAGCGAAAATTTAAACATACAGAGATATGGAAAAGCAATAAAAGAAGGAAAAGCTTTTTGATTATTTTATATCACGTTTATAATGAGTACCGTGAATTGTTCATGGCACTTAAATGCAGAGGAAAGCGCTTTTTTGAAAATAATTTACACCCCTAAAAAACTTTCATTAGTTTTTAAGGCTGAAATGGTACTTTTTGGGATGATTAATTTTGTTTTTGAGAAAATTTAATGTCAATAATTTGTGAAAAGAGTTTGTCATATTCATCATATTCATCATAATCATCATAATCATCATAATCATCATAATCATCATAATCATCATAATCATCATAATCATAATAATCATCATAATCATCATATTCATCATAATCATCATAATCATCATTCATCATAATCATCATAATCATCATAATCATCATAGTCATCACAGTCATCACAGTCATCACAGTCATCATAGTCATCATAGTCATCATAGTCATCATATTCATCATATTCATCATATTCATCAATTACTTGGTTACTAAGAGAGTAATCCTCAGGGCTCCTTTAGGAATATAGGTGAGGATGCCAGTAGGTCGTCACGGAGTAATGATCTATCATCCATGTCCTGCTACATAGTGCTCTCCACACTCAAATACTCCTTGCACAGATAGATTTTACGTACATTTATAGTTGTCCAATGTCGATTGAGTCCAGCTGGGTCCGAAATATGTTTAAAGTCCTTGCCTCTTTTATTTCTACTGGAAGTTTATTCCATTATATTCATCATATTCATCATATTTACCAATCATCATATCCATCATATTCGTCATATTCATCATATTCATCAATCATCATATTCATCACATTCATCATATTCATCATATTCATCATATTCATCGTATTCATCGTATTCATTGTTTTCATCATATTCATTGTATTTATCGTATTCATCTGATTCATCGTATTCATCTTATTCATCGTATTCATTTTATTCATCGTATTTATCATAATCAAGATAAATAAATAAATCAATAAAAAGCATATATAAAGTTTTTTAACTAAATTCCCTTGAAATTACATGTACAGTCCCTTTATTCTTGAAATTACATTTACAGTCACTTTAATCTTTAAATTACATGTACAGTCCCTTTAACCTTGAAATTACATGTATAGTCCCTTTAACCTTGAAATAGTCCCTTTAACCTTGAAACTACATGTACAGTCCCTTTAACCTTGAAATTACATGTATAGTCCCTTTAACCTTGAAATTGCATGTAAAGTACTTTTAACCTTGAAATTACATGTACAGTCCCTTTAACCTTGAATTACATGTACAGTCCCTTTAACCTTGAAATTACATGTATAGTCCTTTTAACCTTGAAATTACATGTATCGTCCCTTTAACCTTGAATTTACATGAATAGTCCCTTTAACCTTGAAATTACATGTACAGTCTCTTTATCCTTGAAATTACATGTACAGTCCCTTTAACCTTGAAATTACATGTACAGTCCCTTTAACCTTGAAACTACATGTACAGTTCCTTTAACCTTGAAATTACATGTATAGTCCCTTTAACCTTGAAATTACATGTACAGTCTCTTTAACCATGAAATTACATGTACAGTCCCTTCTTGAAATTACATGTACAGTGCCTTTAACCTTGAAATTAATTAGCTGGTTGTAGGATATTGAGAATATTATAAACATTATAAATCTATATATAACATCAGGACTTTCCTTCCTTCCGTCCTTCCTCGCTCTTTTCTCCAGGATAGTCCGGGGGAGGGATATGTAGAGGGGGGGACTTATGTAGATTAAAAATTTAATATTTTCTGAATGGAAGAAAGTGTTTTTTTTTGATAAAAACTAAAAAAGTTTATTTTAAGAAGGGGGGAGGGGGGGGGGGGTAATATCCCCCCTAGGGATCAGCTGTTTGAGACACGAGTTCAGGAAATATCTAGATTTCTGATTAGTACAGCTTCCCTTCAATACAACATATCTATAATATAGTGAATAGTTAATAATCAAGTTTTATTTAAAAGCAAGGTAAAAAAAGGGAGTTTCTCTCATTTATAAAAATATAATGAAACTTATTACATACTGTCCACTGTCAAGTGTCCACTCAGTGCTAATAATAACACGAGCACAACACAAATGTCAAAATGTCAAAGTGATAAGTTATATTAGTTTTTTTTTTGAACATTTAAATGTCGAATTATTTTGTTTAATTAATCATAAACCTTATACTGCTGTAGTGGCAACACAGAAAACAAATTTTATTATTAATCATTAATCATTTCGAATTTATTTTAAAAAGGGGTAATTAACAAAATTTTGCTTATTATTTTTTTTTTAATGATTTTGAATTATATATACTGGTTTTAGGCCACTTTGAAGCACAACAGTTTCAATAATAACTCATTAACATTTTTATTTAAAAATTAGATAAACATTAAAAATTAAACCGTTAAATTTTTGTTTTTTTTAAAGAGCTTTAATTAATTTTCTTTTCGTTTATTTGAGGTATACTTGTAAACCCATCACCGAATATGATCATACCATTCAGAGTTAATAAAACAGTTTGCTTTCTCTTTTAAACGGACTAATTTCTATTCAACGTAATTCATGTTGAAATCTTTCCCATTTCATATAAACGTAATTCATGTTGAAATCCTTCCCATTTCATATAAACGTAATTCATGTTGAAATCCTTCCCATTTCATATAATCATAATTCATGTTGAAATCCTTCCTATTTCATATAAACGTAATTCATGTTTAAATCCTTCCTATTTCATATAAACGTAATTCATGTTGAAATCTTTCCCATTTCATATAAACGTAATTCATGTTGAAATCCTTCCCATTTCATATGAACGTAATTCATGTTGAAATCCTTCCCATTTCATATGAACGTAATTCATGTTGAAATCCATCCCATTTCATATGAACGTAATTCATGTTGAAATCCATCCCATTTCATATGAACGTAATTCATGTTGAAATCCTTCCCATTTCATATAAGCGTAATTCATGTTGAAATCCTTCCCATTTCATATAATCGTAATTCATGTTGAAATCCTTCCCATTTCATATAATCGTAATTCATGTTGAAATCCTTCCTATTTCATATAAACGTAATTCATGTTGAAATCCTTCCCATTTCATATAAACGGCACTTCCAGTGAATGATAAAACAGTTTTGACAAAAATAAAAAACTTTGTTTTTTAACTGTATGATCCTAAAGAAAAGATACCGATGTGAATCGGGCATTGTATATCTCTGCATGGAGGGTCATCTAAACAAGATTAAAGAGTAATCTGACAAGATCTGACCAAACAGAAGCCACACAAAAAACTGCTCTCAGAAGATGAGAGATCACGAAAATATCAGCTGATTTTTTGAAGGATTTAGCTTTAAATTGCTACAACTAGTGCATAGGGGTTGGATCTTTTGGATCCGCAACATTTTGGCTTCCTGGATCCTAGGGGTTAAATATCAACCAAATATCTGCTCTCAAAACCTAAATCTGATTTGTTTTAAAATTTCCTTCTCTCTGCACACGGTTCATCAAGTTTCAATTTTTAAATAAAAAATGATTTAAAAATACTTCTTCTGTTCAAAAATCCTTAAAATGGTAATTGGATCAACTTAAAATTATTATTTCTGTTGATCAAAACAAATATTTTATTTCTGTTGATCAAAACAAATATTTTATTTCTGTTGATCAAAACAAATATTTTATTTCTGTTGTTTAAATTCATGTTTACCATTGAGTTTATTACTATGTTTCTCGGCAACTTGAAAATATTTAGTCATATATTAAAGGGACTGTAAACGTTATTCCAACTGACCCTCCATTGATTCTTATCTGATTCATAACTTTACCCTTAAAGCTTATTCTGATCAAGAATAAAGTAGATATCCAATTTTGTTTATGAAAACGGATTGTTTTAGTTTGTGGTTTCTCTTGAAAACTAACCAAATTGCAAGCTAGAAAAACGACGGTATCTTCCACATTATTAATTAGATTAAAAGCTAACGATTCCTTTCAAAAAATTGATATTTTTTTAAATAATTCAGACTTTTTTTGTGTAAGCCAGAAAAAAATCCTCTAAATAAATCGAGATTGGTATAGTGAACGCCTACTCCATAACAATTTCTCGAACACGTATCTATCCAGGTACAACTCAGTTTCTTTTGACTATCAACACTATCAACACTATCAACACACGGCTTTAATCCCGTGAACTATCAACGCCACTACCACTGGGTGCGATCTTGTTAGCTATCCGTGTCAATTGATCAATGTCTTAACTAGGACACGATTCACACGACTACAATCCTGGAACTATCAACGCCACTACCAATGGGCGCGATCTTGTTAGCTATCGGTGTCAACCGGACACTAGCAATTAATCGACCAAGCCAAAACTCAAAACAACCATCTCAATTCGTAAGTTTCAACGAAACCAAATTACTTAACACTGTATTCAAAGCGGAGTTTCTATATCAACTAGTGTATTTGAGGTTTATATGTTAGAAGTTAAAGTTAATAGACGTAATAACAATTCCTACGTTGTTATCTATATCACATGATTAAGACAATCATGTTACGTATTACAGCACAGTTGAAATAGGCGTAATTAAGATGTATATCACATGATATAAGCTAATCATGCTACGTATTAATTTGAAACGCAGTTCCAATGAATAATGGATTTTACGTAAAAGTTTTTACCAACATAGATTGCTAATAATGTTCTTCAGGTTTACAGAATATCATTCTTACCCAATATTTATAACAATCCTTGAAACACTGGTCGACCTTTCCTTGACATCAATGTTTCTAAAATTGTTAATGACTGAATGAGTTTTGATTTTTCAAATTTTTTCTCTCTCATAAATGTTTCTCGCGCATATATTTACAATGGAGACTATCTGTAAAGAAATATTTTGTTTTCTTGTTCACATGTTTTTAGATTTTACAATGACGAGAGAGAGATAATGCAATAAAACTTGATTTCTCTTGAAGCTATTGTGTACTTTATCATTCTTCCACACTTCATTGCGAATTTTATACTGAACGTGCTATTAAGTTAAATTAGCTGTTTATTATGGCATCGTTCTATTAAGTAATCATCGTGCTATATTGTCAAATTAGCACGTGTGCTATAAATATAAAGGTTTTGTTGGTTCCCGGATTTTCTCCAAAACTAGGATATTTCCAAAATATTTTTTTTTCATGAAAATAAAATTGGAATCAACTTTATATTTTGATCTAGGAATGACCATTGAAATAAGACAAGTACACAAACGACCATTGAAATAAGACAAGTACACAAACGTTTTATAAAATTACCTTTAACACTTTTAATTTTGGCACGACGTGCATAAAGTTTTTGGACTTTAATTTTTTTTATATCTTGAAGGTTCTCGGGTTTTTAGATTATATTTTGTTCCTAAAAAGGCTTGAACCTTCTCGATAAAGAGAAAATTTCTGTCCAAAAACTTCACAACACTGCGAACCAAAATAGTAGTGTTTTAAATAGTTGATTTCCTAGCCGCCAGTTTTCTCTGTACTCGAATAAGACAAAAATTTTCGCGGATTTTAATTTGGCGGATTTTCACAACTTGTATTTATTACTGTTGAAATTTGTTCCGGACAAGATTTTTATTTCGACCAACCATAAACTGATCTTTTGGTCATGTTGGTTGACCGACAATAATAACGTTTATTTGAACCTGCCAATTTATATATTAATGCTAGAATAAACAAATTATTAGGATAATGTCTTAATCTAACCCCCCCCCTCTCGCCCTTTTGTTTCTAATGTAGTTTATATTAACAGGGCTGGCAGTCAAGCAGTCTATTAAAGATTTGTCATGCAATTGTATTGATGATTATATAGTAATCTAGTTCAGGGGACGCAAACTGTAATTTAGCCGTGAAAAGCTGCCTTTTTCGTTACAGGATAAAAAATCTAGCTGATAAAGAAACGAACTGATAAAGTAGTGAACTGATTTGGCTGATAAAATAGATACTCAATTGACCTTTGAACAATATTAAGATAAAAAATAAACTATTTAATTGACTACACAGTTAAGTGTTAAACTAATTGTCTGATATTTAGGAATTGTTAGAGAAGGTTGAGGAGAACTCTTCTGGTGAGGAACAGTGGGATTCTCATTTCAGGTAACTTAAAGGGAGAAACCAGCTGGAGCGCCGTGGAATTTAAAAAAAACCATGGTTTCCTAAAAAATCAGCCCATTCGGTCTAGTCCTTTGGCCAGCTATAGCAAACAAATATATAAGAGCTTTATTATATAGATAAAAAAACTTCAGGATTCATTTGATACCAATGGGACGTTTTAACTATTTATAATTTCTAAGTAAAAGGTGAGCCTCGGTTTGTAAATTTTCACGAAAACGGATGGTTCAGAGTAGAAACGGTTTTTTTTTTAACACGTATTGAAAAACCCCGACGAAAAATGTAACAAACCTGTTCCTTAACAACTAGTTGGTTTACTGTCTTATTTTTGTTATATTTTTCATCGTCGGTATTGAATAATTAAATAAAACAATGTTTAACGTGTATCTTCCAAAATAGATAATCTGGGAGAATTCTAAAAATCGATTTTGTGCTCTTAGTTAGAAATTATATATTGTAAAAACTTCTTATTGGTATCAAATGAATGCTAATTTTTTCTCTTTAAAACTACACTGTCAGCTTCATATTTCATATTTTTATTCAACTACAAAGCACAAGAAAATACAAATAAAAAAATCACAATTTACGATGTAGTTTTGACCCGCCTTACCAGAGTAGGTTGTTTTAATTGGTGGGCCCACTATAAACGAATGAGAATTGAAAATAAAAACAATATACATTGTACATTTTAAACATAAAAATGATGATAAATCAGGAAAAAGGTAAGGAGGAGGTGAGGGAGTACAAGCGAAAGGGAGGATACTCAGCGTAAGGGTTGGAACAGCTTAACTACCGCTTCCAACCGGTCACTCCCTTAAATGAAAATTGCTAAGTTCTGGCGATCCGTTTGATTTGCAAAAAAGTTTTTTGAGCTAGAGGGGGAGGGGGTGAATTTGCAAATTCAATCGAGAAATTGCAGGAGAAATTTGTATTTTACAGAAGAAAGAACACAGACTTCTAAAGAAGGTTTTCTACAAGAGGCCTAAACGTGTCTCGAGAAAGCGCTAATCCTTAACACCCTTAATCTTCATCGACAGCGGAGCTTTTAAGTTTTATCCATGAAAGTCAGCTGTATAATTACTGTGATTTTTCGCGCACTCTTAATAGTCGATTTTTTCCCTAAATGAAACTCTAAGCTAAAATTGTATAACATTTTTATTTAATAATAAAAATGATCGTCAGTCGATGTTTTTCTAAGATATATATTATGTATAGAGGGCTATAAATCTTGATAATCGGACAGCAGAGGATACGAATATATGCTTACTGCATGTTTAAACAAAACAATATGAATTTTATTTTAGGCGACATTTACTGAATCCAGATAGTGGGAAGAAAAAGAAGAAAAAGGTGAGAATACTGTGATATATAATATGATCAAAACCAGTGCTTAGGATCCGGATCCGAATCCGTTGGATCTTCAATCAAACACTGCAAAAAACCTTTTTTATTCATAAAAAAACCCAAATCTGACCTTTTGAACAAAAGAGAAATTATAAAAATTTCCTCATTTCTGAATGGCTCATCAAGTTAAAGGATAAAAATAAAAAAAATTGAAAATTATTTTTGTTAAAAAAATTCAGTAAATCTTAAAGAAATGACCTGGATCTGGATCCATTTTTTCCAGTGCGGATCCAGGATCCGCATCCGAATCAAAATTTAATGGATCCTAAGCACTGATCAAAATATTGAAAAAAATGCTTTTTTTAATTCTGAAGAAATATTTTGCTTGAAACATAATTCTAGTTTCCCCTACAGTCTCCACTGATACACAACAGTTACTTTAAAAACTCTATCTGATAACGAATTAATTATTTTTTGATTTTTAAATCTAATTTTTATTTTATTTCTGAAAAAAACAATGGAGAAATTAACAAGAATTAAACACTTGAAAGTTGGATTGGGACTTTATCATCCCCGTTTTTGATCAAATGGTTTCTAAGTTACCGTCTGAAATCGATGGTAGCTTAGAACTACAACATCAGTCCCTGTTTAACTTTTAAGAGGATTTTGAAAATGGACTGTCAGCATAATTTTAAGTTATCATCCATGCCTAATTTACAACCCTTGAAATGGTTTGTGTGATCAAGTATGAATGAGATATTAATGTTTATGTTAATAGAAACTAATTATTTTTTAATGTGGGTTCTCTTTAAAAATAACTTGCGAAATCATTAAAATAAAAATTTTTAAAAACAAAAATCATTTATCTGATAAAGGTTTCAAGGGTACTGCTGTGAATCAGATAAAGGTTTCAAGGGTACTGCTGTGAATCAGATAAAGGTTTCAAGGGTACTGTTGTGAATCAGATCAGATAAAGGTTTCAAGGGTACTGCTGTGAATCAGATAAAGGTTTCAAGGGTACTGCTGTGAATCAGATCTGATAAAGGTTTCAAGGGTACTGCTGTGAATCAGATAAGGGTTTCAAGGGTACTGTTGTGAATCAGATCAGATAATGGTTTCAAGGGTACCGCTGTGAATCGGCAGTGCCCTCTGTGTATGTGGGGTCATTAAAAATTTTGTTAACAGTCCATTTAAATTAAAATCTGAAGCTAAACATAAAATACTAACTTTTTGATTTCCAGGTTTCCGAGACCAACAAGGGAGGAAGCCTGAGTAATCTTTCTTTAATTGATTCAGATAATACTAGGTACATTTTTTTTCATTAATTCATTCATGTTTTCTTTAGTTATTTTTCATTCATTCATTTATGTTTTCATTAGTTATTATTCATTCATGTTTTCATTAGTTATTTTTCATCCATTCATTCATGTTTTCATTAGTTATTTTTAATTCATTCATATGTTTTTATTAGTTATTATTTATTCATTCACTTATGTTTTCATCAGTTATTATTTCATTCACTCATTCATGTTTTTATTAGTTATTTTGCATTCATTCATTCATGTTTTTATTAGTTATTTTTCATTCATTCATTCATTCAAGTTTTCATTAGTTTTTTTTCTTCATTCATTTATGTTTTCATTAGTTATTTTTCATTCATTCATTCATGTTTTCATTAGTTATTTTTCATTCATTTATGTATTCATTAGTTATTTTTTATTCTTTCATTCATGCTTTTATTGGTTATTTTTCATTCATTTATGTTTTCAGTAGTTACTATTCATTCATGCTTTCATGTATTCATTAGTTATTTTCCATTCATTTATGTATTCATTATTTATTTTTCATTCATTTTTGTTTTCATTAGTTATTTTTCATTCTTTTATGTATTCATTGGTTATTTTTCATTCATTCTTTTATGTTTTTACTCCTCCAAGGTTGTACAATGTATATTTTCTTGAAAAATTGTTTCCCTGAGATGATTGGTATGTCAGCGTGATATGCAAAAAAATGATATTTTAGGGGTTTTTTTGCTGTATTGGGGCAAATAAATTTTAGTTGGTTTATGATGTCAAATTTTGCATTTTTCAACTTATGCACTTTTGCAAACCACTCACATATCAATCCAATCCTGTACCCCACCTACCCCACCCCCTTCCCGGTAAACCTTATCTTTCCAATCCTGGTACACCCTTGTCCCTTACATCCTTTCCATTTAGAATATAGAATAAAAGACTTAATTCTAGAATTCTTTAAACATTCCCTTTAGTAGTAAACTAAATTTTAGAATTCTTTTGACCTTCCCTTCAATGATAAACCGAACCCTAGAATTCTTTTGACGTTCCCTTAAATAATAAACTAAATTTTAGAATTCTTTTGACCTTCCCTTTAATAATTAACTGAATTTTAGAATTCTTTTGGCCTTCCCTTTAATGATAAACCGAATCCTAGAATTCTTTTGACCTTCCTATAATAATAAACTGTATTTTTAAATTCTTTTGACCTTCCCTTAACAATGATAAGATTTGTAGAACTCTGTTTACATTCCCTTTAGTATTTAACCGAACTGAAGTGAAATTCCGTCACAAATCCATTTAATATATAAACTGTACTCTGTAGATGCTGTATGAGGAGATGGGTCCCATGGGTCCCGGTGAACTTCTACACTCTACCAGTGATAGTATGATACGAAGCAGATACAGGAATATAACTAGTCGTCCTCCTTTAGCAATAACTAGTCTTCTTCATTTTAGCAATAATTCGTCGTCTTCGTTTTAGCAATAACTATTTGTCTTTATTTTAGCAATAACTAGTAGTCTTCATTTTAGCAATAATTATTCGTCTTCGTTTTAGCAATAACTAGTCGTCTTCATTTAAGCAATAACTAGTCGTCTTCATTTTAGCAATAACTAGTCGTCTTCATTTTAGCAATAATTAGTCGTCTTCGTTTTAATAATAATAAGTCGTCTTCGTTTTAGCAATAACTATTCGTCTTCGTTTTAGCAATAACTAGTCTTCTTCATTTTAGCAATAACTAGTCGTCTTCATTTTAGCAATAATTAGTCGCCTTCGTTTTAGCAATAATTATTCGTCTTCGTTTTAGCAATAATTAGTCGTCTTCCTTTTTAGCAATACCTAGTCTTTTTTTTAGCAATAACTAGTCTTCGTTTTATCAATAACAAGCCGTCTTCATTTTAGCAATTATTAGTCGCCTTCGTTTTAGCTTTAATTTGTCATTTTCATTTTAGTAATAATTAGTCTTCGTGTTATCAATAGCTTGTCAATCAATTAATCAGATGGGTCGTTCTAACCAATCCCATTCCTCGCCCTGTCTATTTTTTCATATATATATTATCATTATTCATTTTACATATTATTTCCTCAAATAGTTGGTTGAGAGCATAACATTTTTATCACTAAATTGAGGGAAACTATTCTAAGGGGTGAATGAATAAAATATTTCGGGTTAAAAGCACCAAAAAGAGGGTGGGAAGCTTATGTTTAATTTCTCAACCGCAACCCCCCCCCCCCCTTGAAAAATGTTTCCCCCGTTTCTTACACATATTGTGCATTGAACTTAAAAATTGATTTAATTTGTGAAGTAGAAAAAATGTTAACAGAAACTGTGGGAGCTTCAGGAGATTTAAGGAGAAACTAACAATTCATTCAAATCTCCCTGCTGATACTTCTCTCCCCAAGTTTTTTTTTCAAATTTTCTGTCAAAAAAAACTATTAAAGATCATAAACACGTGGACCCGAACAACAAGTATATACAGGCCACAGGGTTACCCACTAAAGATGAGCACAGGGTTACCCACTAAAGATGAGCACAGGGTTACCCACTAAAGATGAGCCCACGGCCCTGTTGAAATAATTTTATTTATCTATCTGCCTTCTCTGGTTTTACTGATGGTCTTTCGTCACTGAAGTCTTGTCCTTTGTGGGTAACCCTGTAACTGTGAGAAAATTCTCTTGTGAGATTAAATTTGAGGTATTTTTGAGAAAAATGTTTTGGTGCTATGGGGGGGGGGGATGGACATGAAGATTGAAGAAGTAAAGTTTTTTCTCCTTTTTGAAATTTTTACCCAAAAATTCCTTCATTTTCCCATAAAATAATATTTCTTCCCGTCTACATTCTACATTTTTACCTATTGAGCACTTTTAAGCTTTGCCCCCTTCATTTTCTACTTTTAATTATCTATATGGTTTGTTTTGTGAGTTTTTTCAAGAAAATATACACCCCTAGATTTAACTTTTATCTGACACTGACTGGTTGTGTTGTGTCCAGGGATCATTTAAGTATAGATATAGATCAGGGGGATGAAGGAGGAGATACAGACAGTAATAAAACAGAGGTAAATACTTTATAAAAGGGGCTGTAAGTGTATTTTTAAGTGACCTTGTATGGGTCAGGTTAGATTCACAATGGAAACCTTAAACCTTTATCTAATCGATAATATGGAAGATTACGTCGTTTTCTATTAATCTTTAATTCTGATACATTTCATCATTATCTTAAAGCAGAAATCCTCAAAAATTATAAATTATCCATTATTTTCGTTGAAATCTAGGATATATCATTCATTCTTTATCATACAATATTAAGAGTAATAATGTGAATCAGAAATACCACTTGATCAATTAACCTCATAATCTACCCTATCACAATAATTAACCACATAACCTACCCTATCACAACAATTAACCTAATAACCTACGCTATCACAACAATTAACCTCATAACCTACCCTATCACAACAATTAACCTCATAACCTACCCTATCACAACAATTAACCTCATAACCTACCCTATCACAATTAACCTCATAACCTACACTATCACGACAATTAACCTCATATCCTACCCTATCACAACAATTAACCTCATAACCTACCCTATCACGACAGTTAACCTAATAACCTACGCTATCACGACAATTAACCTCATAACCTACCCTATCACGACAATTAACCTAATAACCTACCCTATCACAACAATTAACCTCATAACCTACCCTATCACAACAATTAACCTCATAACCTACCCTATCACGACAATTAACCTCATATCCTAACCTATCACAACAATTAACCTCATAACCTACCCTATCACGACAATTCACCTCATTACCTACCCTTTCACAACAATTAATCTCATAACCTACCCTATCACGACAATTCAACTCATTACCTACCTTATCACAACAATTAACCTCATAACCTACCCTATCACGACAATTAACCTCATAACATACCCTATCACGACAATTAACCTCATAACCGACCCTATCACGACAATCTCTCTTCCACTTGATCAATTAACCTCATAACCTACACTATCACGACAAACTCTCTTCCACTTGATCAATTAACCTCATAACCTACCCTATCACGACAATCTCTCTTCCACTTGATCAATTAACCTCATAACCTACTCTATCACGACAATCTCTCTTCCACTTGATCAATTAACCTCATAACCAACCCTATCACGACAATCTCTCTTCCACTTGAACTACACAGAAGGAGAAGGTCATATTATGCAACTCTACTAAGCTGGGAACTTCAGAATGGATAACCTTTAATCCCAACTACTTAATCCGAATATCCATTGTGGAAACTTTTAATTTTAGTCCTTAATTCAATCTATTTCTCTCTCTTTGGATATCCGTACATTGTTTTCTCCAATGAGAGTGCAGGAATATACTTCTTAAATTGTGTTGACCAATGACAGCCTTGTAAATAGATTCTATCCCATGAGGGAAATCCGCAATTCCTAAGAAATAAAAAATTTGCTGTCGGCCATTTTGTAAATTAATCTATTTATATATTCCAGGTTGAAGAGATAGAGATGGTTGATATGGAGGGTAGGGCTGAATATACAGAGTTTGATGAATCTATATCTCTACTACATGCTAGACAAAGAATGGAAACTCGTGGCAGAGTGGTAAATGAATTTCATTGCTTTTTTATGTAATGTTTTTGTTTTTTTTCTTCTCTGAAATTAAGGCCCCCCATTCTCCTCCTCTATTTGTTGCTTGTTTTTGCTTTCCATTGTTATCGAAAAAAAAATTCTGGGATTTTACTATTTTAAATTATAACTAAACTGTCAATGTCATTTTTATAGTAATTTTTTTGTGAATATTGTGTTATTATTGTTGTTTTGTTATTGTATTCTCATTATCTTTTTGTTTTTAATGTTACTGTTTCGTTTTTATATTGTTATTGTAATTTTCATGGATATTCTCATCAATATTGTGTTGCAATTGGTACATTAATATTGATATCGACTTTCATTGATGTTGTCATCATTTCATTTGTTATTAATATTGTTAATAATTTTATTGTTGTTATTAATGTTAGTATTGTTGTTATTGTTATAGTTATTGTTATTGTTATTGTTATTGTTATTGTTATTGTTTTTGTTTTGGTAATTTCTATTGCAATTGGTATTGCTATTGTGTTATTGTTTTGGTAATAACTATTGACCTTGTTATTGTTATTGCTTTTATCATTGCTATTGCTATTGCTATTGCCTTTGTTATTGCTATTGTTATTGTTATTGTTATTGTTATTGTTATTGTTATTCAGATCTCTAGTCAGGGACCAGATGAGGGAATCGAGCTTCAAAGTGATCGATCAAGTATTCGATCAGTAACTGATAGTGATAGAGATCGGGAGGTAAAATATTTAATTTTATCTTTTTATCTCTTTCTATCTTTATCTATCTATATCTATATCTATATATCTATATTTATATCTATATCTATCTATCTATCTATCTAGGATGATAAGCTGGATGTGAATGGGAATCAAAGTGTTTTCCCGATTATGAACGAGCATACCCGACCCATCTCAATCTATAGGTAGAGTTCAGGGCGCTTATTGCTTATCAGGGGGATAAATTTCCCAGAATTATACCTCTGCAACACAAGAAAGACATTATTTTAATTTTTTTTTGGTGGGGGAAGGATTTGGAGTAAGGAAATGATTTGGAGTAAGGGAATGAAAAACTTTAATCCATAATTCCTTTTGTAACCTGGAGGGGGGATGGGGGATGATTTTGAAGAAATAAATTTCAGAAAGTTTTAATTGGAAAGGGGGATTCTAACAAATATATCACCCCCCTCCCCAATTCCATGTAAAGATGGGGCCCCCCAGACCTCTTTCCTATTATTCTTGATTTGACAAAAATATGAGTTATGTGTTAACTATTTTTTTAATATCATTTCTAAGAAGGATTAATGAATTTTTATGATCTAATGTTTAGGCACACACCTGTGTTTACCAGTCAGCGTTTAACCGTCCCCTCTCTTCCACCCAAGGTATGCATCAATCAATCAATCAATTGATTATGGGATTGTATACGTTATTTAAAGTAACCTTTCATATGTATTGCAGGGCATATCCGATTTACAACGGTACCCTAGAAAGCTTTGTCTGTTTGAGAATGAATAAGCTTTTCTCCCTGAAAAATTATTTTTGTCAGTTGAGGTTTTTCTACGAAATCGGTTTTCTCCAGAAAAAATGGAGGGAATTGTAAAAAATAAACATTTTTCAATTAAACAACAATATCCACATCTTTATCAGAAGAAGGTTTAAATAAAGGGTATCGTTGTAAATTCGGCATTGCCCTGCTTAAAGTTAAGGGTTTCTTGTTATTACTAAAACATTCCTTTTAAATTAATAATAATAATCATAATAATAATCATAATCATAATCATAATCATAATCATAATTATAATTATAATTATATTCATAATCATAATCATAATCATAATCATAACCACAACCACAACCACAACCACACTCACAATCACAATCACAATCACAAATGACAAATCACAAATCATAATCATAATCATAATCATAATCACAATCACAAAAATAATAATACTTTATTTTAGGAAACTCCATTATTAGAAGATAAAAGTAAAATTGAGAAGAAGAGTAAAATCCGAAGGAAAAAGGTAAATATCTCATTTTGCAAGGATTGGATATCAAAGTTTAAGGATTGGATATTTAAGATCAAGGATTGGATATCAAAGATCAAGGAATAGATACCAAAGATTAAGGATTGGATATCAAATATTAAGGATTGGATATCAAAGATTTAGAATTGGATATCAAAGATCAAGGAATAGTTATCAAAGATTAAGGAATGGATATCAAAGGTCAAGGAATGTATATTAAAGATATAGGATTGGATATCAAAGATCAAGGATTGGATATCAGAGATTAATGAATCGATATCAAAGACCAAGGAATAGATATAGAAGATCAAGGAATGGATATCAAAGATCAAGGAAAAGATATCAAAGATCAAGGAATGGATATCAAAGATCAAGGAATGGATATCGAAGATCAAAGACTGGATATAAAAGATTTAGGATTGGATATCAAAGATCAAGGATTGGATTTAAAAAATTAAGGAATGGATATATAGGATCAAGGAATAGCTACCAAAGATTAAGGAATGGATATCAAAGATCAAGGAATAGCTACCAAAGATTAAGAAATGGATATTAAAGATCAAGGAATAGATATCATAGATCAAGGAAAGGATATCAAAGCCTAGGTCAAGGAATGTATATCAAAGATCAATGATTGGATATCAAAGATCGAATTTTAAATGCTTGTTAAGAATAGAATAATTTCACACTTTGTAAAATCAGTTGCTTGTTTTGTTTCCAATTCTTGTTGTTTTGAACATAATATTTGTTGTGTTTGGTACATGATATTTGTTGTATTTTATTCTTAATGTGCTGTACATAATATTTGTTGTGTTTGGTACATGATATTTGTTGTACTTAATTCTTAATGTGCTGTACATAATATCTGTTGTGTTTGGTACATGATATTTGTGTACTTAATTCTTAATGTGTTGTACATAATATTGGTTGCGTTTGGTACAAGATATTTGTTGTACTTAATTCTTAATGTGCTGTACATGATATTTGTTGTGTTTTGTACATGATATTTGTTGTATTTAATTTTTAATGTGCTGTACATAATATTTGTTGTGTTTGATACATGATATTTGTTGTACTTAATTCTTGATGTGCTGTATATAATATATGTTGTGCTTGGTACATGATATTCTTAGTACTTAATTCTTGATGTGCTGTAAGTAATATTTGTTGTGTTTTACATAATGTGTGATACGTTTTACAAAATATTTGTTTGTGTTTACATAATTTGTTGTGTTTTACAATTTACATTATATTTGTTGTGTTTAAATAATATTAGTTTTTTTGTTATGTTTTACAGAATATTTCTTGCATCGTCCTTTTTTGTGTTTTACATGATATTTATGCATAATATTTGCTGTGTTTTAACATGATACTTGTGATGTAAATGACAATTGTTGCGTTGTCAATAATAGTTTTTTTGTTCATATGGTTTGTTGCGTTGTACATAATAACTGAAGCGTACATAACGTTTGTTGTACAGGATGAGGAGAAGAATGTGAAAAAATCTGAAGATATTGAAGGATATAAAGGATATCAAGATGTGGACGCTATCCTACAGTTTATAGGTAAACAGACTCTCTCTCGATATTAACACAGACATTGTTTGCACAGTTTTGAAGGTTAAAATTAAATTAAATAAAAATCAGATTTTTTTTCTTTATTAACTCTTGCCCCCAGGTATGTATATATTTTTTTTAAAAAAGGATAAAGATTTTTGACGATGTGGGAGGAAATAATTAAGAATTAGACATCAAAAGGAAAGTTTTTATTCATTTATGATAAATTTTACCCAAAATTTTATTCATTTGCCAATCATTTAACCTCTCATAAAAAATGTTTGCGCAAGAATACCTATAATATCTTATCTGTTCGGTTCCATGGTAGTAATCCTATCGTGTAAGAATTCCCATTATTACACGGTTCAGGAGAAATATTTTCCAATATTGTTCACTTCCTAGTGTTAAAGAATGCTTATTCTTACACTGGGGTGACTGGGGTTGTAGAATTTTCATTCTTTAACGCTCAGACCATATAAGAATTATTACATGATCAAGCGTGAAAGAATCTATATTCTTACACACTCCAAGCATTAAAGAATGGAAATTATTATACTAGTTGAAGAACATTCATTCGTACACGCTCCTTATATTGATCTTTTCCACTTAGATCAATATTGATATTAACTAATTTTGTACGAACAACGTGCACAGGGCACACTCACCTTTTTCCTTTTTATTAATACATGCAATCTTGCCTTTTTATACTTTGTAACATCTTGCTATAACTTTAAATGTCGAAGATTTTTCTGTTTTCGTTTGTGCAATTTCAAATTCTTAAAAATCTAAAAGGTGTAAGAAACATTCTGAAACAATGATCATTTCTTAGGGTTCAACAAAAAATGTGGTTAATCATTCTATACGTTCATTAGATTATAAGAAACCAACAAACTGACATTGCTTAATGGTCGTTAGTGAGCTGATATTGGATAATTATTTGTTTTTAACTGTTCCTATTGTAGGTGCTGAATCAGACAACTTGGGGAAAAAGAACCGAAAATCTGCAGAAAAGAATACTGAGAAGATTGAGGATAAGAAGAACAAGAAGAATACTAAAAAAGAAGATTCTTCGAACACGGAAAAAAGAAAGAAGAAGGAAAAATCCGCTGAGAAAGAAGTTGTCAGGAAAAGCGCTAGTAAGAAGAATTCTGTTGAAGTATCAACGGAAGACGAGGAAATGGGAAGTAAGCCAAGGCGGGAGGATGAGACGGGATCCAAGCCAAGACGGGAGGAAGAGGAGAGACAGGAGGGCGGGAGTGTAGCCAGCAGTGGGCAGGGAACGGTTAGTAGTGGACGGGGAACTGCCCATTCGGTAGATTTGGGACAACCCGATCCCGCCCATACCACATATCCTTCAAGAGAATCAACTAAGGTACAGGGTGACCCACTAACTTATACTATAGAAAGCATAAAAATGTAAATAGTGTACAAGATATCACTAAAATCTGAAATTTAAGAATGTGGTTTATTTGGTACTGTTTAAAATCAAGGTGGGCTGTAAAAGTTTGAAATTCTTTGTGTAGTACAAACTTAATCTGGGAAACCACTGAAATTGTTGAAAAACCTTTCAGTAGAAGCAGCTGAACCAGCAGAATCTATTATTACTTCATAGCTTTTTCCTAATTTTTTTTATCTCAAGAAGGTCAATTTGAAAAGAACCTCTAAAATATGAAAATTCATTTCTCGATTGAAAGGTTTTTGAAACTTATATTCTGTATATTTAAAGGATATTTCTGATTCCTCATCCCCTCCACTGGAACTAGAGGCAGAAATATTCTATCCGGAAAGAGAGGTGCTTGAGTTCACAGAGGTATGCTTTATTTGGTTTGGTGGTTGATGGATTGGTTGGTTGCTGGTTGGTTGGTTGGTTGGTTGAATAAAGGGTTGGGTGGACAGAAGGTTGGGCCATAAGAGAATTTATTTACTGTACAAAAAAATAATTCTGGAATACACAATGAGCACGGTTTTGGTGGCTATAAACTGGTTTGGCAGGCTGGTTGTAAACAATCTAATCAGACTAATGTTGAAACAATATCTATAGTTTCGACAGGAGAGGGTGTTGGGGGTCCTTGTTTGCTGTTTTTTGTCCATTTATGTGGTTCCCAGCAAAACGCTGATTCGTCCAATAAAGTTTTTTTCTTTGTGCTTCCACTTTACTAACGAGTACATACAACCAATGCATCCTGAAGATTTAGTTTCTTATCAGAAGGCTTAAAATGGCAAGCCTTCCTCTTTATCACTCGGATTTAGAATTTATTTGTTGACAGTAAACAGGGTTCAATCTCATGTTGCAGTTAATTTCAGTTATGAATGTGTTTGTTGACAAACGTCCAATATACATTCGTACAGCCACTGAAACTGATAGAGTTCATTGTGAATATAAGAATTTGGTGTATTCTTAGTACATAATTCTCATATGGCTTTACCTTACCTTTGGTTGGTGCAGGTTTTGTTGGATGAAGGGTTGGTTTGTGGCGGTTGATGGATTGGTTGAATAGTTGGATAATTGGTGGGTTTATTGATTGGGCAACTTTTTAAAGGGTTGTCAAGTGTTCATTGGTATGGGTGAGCAAAGATTGATTTTTGGACATCATGACTAAACAATGTTGTTAATTTATTGAATGTTCTTAAGATCAAAATATGTAACTCATTTGTCACCTGAATAGTCAATTGATCAATATTCAATTTATTGGTGGAGTCTTAGTATCAAATGATTGATTATTTGATGTGGTCTGCATATATTGAATTGTTTTATAAAATCTCCTAATCAAATAATGATTGATAACTAGATATATAAGTATATGTTCATAATCAAATGATATAATTGATTTGTTGTACGATCTGCTGATCAATGATTGTATTTCCAGGTAACTAAGAAACCAAGGAAGAAGAAAGATAGGTCTGCTAGATTACCAACTGGGTCTGCTTTCAGGTATTCACCTTCTTCCTATTCTATCTATTTATCTATCTTTAAGTGTCAACTAAATAACAAGCGATGACTGAAATGCAACTAACTATATTGTTGTGTAAGTAAAACAGAAGAAAGCTTTGCTCATAAAAAATGGCGAGTTTTATATCACATGGGTTTATCAGCTGATATCTTCAAGGACAGAAGCTGCAGACATTGAGGCGGAAAGTATGACGACTTGACTTGCCTGCCACATATCTTCTATATATCTTTCTTTATATCTATCTTCATCTTTATATATCTTCCAGGGGTGTATATTTTCTTGAAATACATTCCACCCCTCAAAAAAAAAAAACATGCAAAACTACAATAGATTGATCTTCTTTAACAAATATTTGTTCAATACAAAACAGCAAGATCTTTTCTGGTCCACTTAAATCCATACTTCAGCAATGAATCTACCTGACTGTCTGTTAGAGATTAACCTCTTTTGCATAGTCCCTCCCTATTCAATTTTCAATATAGTGGTAAGACAACCAAAAAGAAACTTCCGTATCAGGCAGGGACAAGTTCTCAAAGGATATCCATTATGGCAGTTCTTTCTTGAAAATATTCTATTTGACAGGATACTGATGGCCTACTAAGAAGCTATATATCTCAGGTTTTGTCTTCGATCCTCCTCTTCCACATGACTGTTGAGTCCTGAATATGAATTTCAGATACCCTAGATCTCTCATTGAAAGATAATTTTTTCTAGTTCTCTTAACCTCCTCTGCAATTGCAGATCTTTGGGTAGGCTCAATTCTGGGCGTAGTTTTATCTGATGAGAGGAGATATCAGAGGTTTCAGGCAACTGGACGATCTTCTGGATTAAGGAATTTTAAGTTTTTAGGTAATCAAATTTTTGTTTGTAAACCTTCAGTCATAGTCTTTATGTCACCAAACTTTCTTATCAACTATCTTTTCTTCTCCTGGAAATCATCAGTTTTTCGAGCCAGCTTACATTATATAGATTCTTCCAGGTACTTTTCAGGTTAGCCTCATCCTTTTAAGAACATCTGTCTCCTTTAAAGGCTTCAAATCAGTTGAAAACTCATAAATATTCAGCTGTGAATCTTTTCCGAACCTCTTGGACTCTTCATATTCAGACTAAGATAAATAAAGGAACTTCACGTCTTTTGCTTTTTGATCATTGTTAAAAAAATTTCTGTGGTGTAATTATCAACATAAGGTTGCTCGGATATTAAAATCTGGTTTAGTTCTACATAGTTTATATATTCAACTATCTCGTTAGTGGATTCCAACTGGTTGATTTTACCATCACGCATCCTTTTTCCTTGCCCGGATCCTGAATGCCCAGTTGTATTTGAGTCCACCAGGATCCAGATACGCTTGTCTGAATCCTGAGTTCTGCACAACAGAACTGGTTCCACCAGAAAATGAAGCTTTGAATGGCCTTCACCATTACCTGAACATGTTATTTTAGACTCTTGAGATTCCCTTGATGTAAATTCTAGTTCCACTAATCTCCCAGATATGATCTTGCTGGTAGGAGGTTGCAAGTCAGACACTTCTTAAGCAAGTACAGAGATATCAGATTCAATTCCCATCCTGTTTTCTAATATGTCTTATAATATGCCAACCAGTACCCTATTATTTTCAAAGTCATTTTTGAAATCAGTTGTGGTGGTAGATTCAGCTCTGAAGTTTTCTCAATGCTACAGGATGGTTCAGCAAATGTTAAACCAGTCTTTTTTTCACTTTCATTTTGTCCTGAGGTTTCAGTTCTATTGAGACCATCAGTTTCTGGATACACTTGTCTAGATTCTGATGTAAAGGAACTTGGTTCAAGATCTTGAGTGACCTGTGATTGAAGACCTACAAATTCGTCAATTGTAACAAAGTACTAGATTTGATTGATAATTTTATTACAGAATTCAACCAGTTTGCAAGAGATCTTAGAGCTTGCTAAGACTGTCTCAAAACTGGTTTGCTTATATGGCAAGATTAGATTTCTGAAAATCACAGTTCGAAAGATTACTACTTAAATAGCAAGATTTTATTTCTTACAGTAAAAGTAAAAAAATTATCACTTTTTTGAATATTGTTTCAAATAACACCTTAATCTCAAATAAAAAATCAAGGTTGTATGATCGTTGTAATTTTACAGAAGGATAGCCCATTTATCATCACAGTCAGTTTAAAATTTAATTTTCTGACGATACATATCAACAAACTCCAGAAACTAGTTGGCAAGAGATTTAGTAAATAAACTATGTGAAGTTAAGTTATATAAAAACACATCAGCACACTCCACAAACTAGTTAGCAAGAGATTCACAAAATATACTAAATACAATACATCTCAACACACTTCACATATTAGTTGAGTTCAAACCAGATAGAACTGAGATTCAGATGTCCAACTAGTATGTGAGTTAATGGTTTCCCAGTTTTACCCCAATACAATTTTTGAACTGAATGGGCCTCTGCCCCTCCACCAGGCTACAATTTTGCTTTAATGTTGAGACATCAACCTCAATTTTTTGTTCATTAAAAAGTATACCTCGTCAATATTTAGAATTTCTGTTCGGATAATCTCCTCTGAAGAATCCTCAATGTTGTTGGAACAGAGATTATCAGACGCAGCAACAATCCCTGGATTCTCTACCCTGTTTAAAAGGTTCTCTTGGTGAGTAGAAAGGAGACAACCCTTCCAGAGACCGGAACTTCAACCAACCCCAGCAACCTCATCTAGATGTGATTTAACAGAAGAGGAGGAATCGAGAAGAAGGAGACTTTTCCTGCATTGAGTACACAGAACTCCCACTTCACTTCTTCTGAAGCAGGGATTTCACTAAGATCAATCTTTTCCAGGAAACAGTGTAGAGGAGGGTTGGATGTCAGATCAATCTTAAAGTTCAGCTGTTTAGGATCGTTTAGATCAAGACGACAGGGCGAAACTAATGTTAGATAACATTAACTTCTCATAATCCATGAGTTTCATATCAAGGAGTCTAATACTCAGGATTCTGGGTTGGCTGTATGCGTAAAGCTTCTGAAGAATGGTCTAAGATCCTTGGTGGATATAAGAAGTGGCTCTGGAATGCCAGCACTGTGGCGCATTTAATGGTATTGGCTTACCAAGGTTTCATTGTTGGTTTTGATTCTAGGACCAATGCATCCAATTCTATGAATTACTCTGAAGGTCATAGTTTCTTTCTCTGAAGATAAAGAGAATTAAACTCATTGAAGCTTCCTCAGTAGATTTATCAGATTTGGTATTGATAACAAAACTGGTCCATACCAGATCAATGAAACCAATATATAAAGTATCTGAAAGTAAAAGAATCAATCATGAGGCCTTACAATGAATTTTAAATATGAAAAAAACAAATGTAGAAATAAATACCTAACATATAAAACTACATTATTTAAATACAATCAATTTTTCCCATCCCAGAACTTCAGGACTTCCAGTGATGAAGAATTATAACCTGTGTCTTAGAGGGTGAATAAGATGCAGAACATAAATATCTTTGTATTTTTCTATCCTTATATCTATATATCGAACTATTTTCATATCTATATATCTTTCCATGCATCTTTAATTTATATCTATCTGTTTCGTGGTTTTAGAACCACTACTACTCTTTATATAGAAAACTCATCATTTACTGTGCTTAAATATAATGTAAGACAATATTATAATGGTATATAAATCTAACATATAAAAGTTAAAAATAACGATAATAATATAAATTTCATACCAATACGCTCAGGGAAGCTCTGATTGTTCCTATGGTGATGGCTATTCTGACTTATTGTCAAGCCAAATGTAAATAGAAAACTTATCTGAGCCGACACTTGTTTGTCAACAAAAAACTGGTTTTAGTATAGCTAGTCTTAACATGAAAGAGGGGACAGTATCTGTGCACTTGAACTGCAGTACAGTAATAGAGATCAAAATACAAGAGATGAAACTTCTAATCCTTCATCTGGTTCGGAAACATTTCGTAACTCCGCGAAATACTATCTTTCTTCCTAAATTATTCAGCTTCTTTTCTTCTGGATTACCAAAACGGATAAGACTATTGAGAATGCTTTTGCGGAATTAATTTTGTCTTTTTCTTACATCCTTGCTACTTATACGTTATTCATAATCAAAGGCTTTGTACAAGCCAGAATACTCAAATCAAATTCAAAATCCTCTTAGTTTTAAAGTTTTTATTTTAATTTTAATTTACAACCATATTAATTATAATAAGTAATTGGTAATTGAAATTGTATTCCTTGTTGGATAGGTAGGACAGACAGGACTGAATTGACAGAACTAATATGTCAAGCTATGAAGTGCAGTGATTTGCAACTTATTTCTTTAAGTTAAAATAATTCATTTTTTTATCCAGTGAGGAGAATAGATCTCGCGGAGAGGACGAGCTAGGACAAGGACAAGGACGCCGAGGACATCTTGTCCGGGGTAACTCACAGAACCAGGACAACGAGGACTGGACTTTCAGGAATATTTCTGATTCCCGCCATTTTGTGAAAATTCAGACATAAGTTTCCCAAAAATACAATTTCAAGTGGTTAATGAACCACAAATTTAACGAGAAAAAAATCCGAAGTTTTAAAGAAAATTTGAACTTTCTTACTATTTAAATTTATTTTTTTTCTTCAAATTTTGATTTAATTTTGTTAAAATTTCTTTGTTGTTTGAAGTCAAGTTTACATTTTGGTGGGAAAATATTTCTTATATTTCTCAGGATTTTCCTTCCATTTGTCTTCATACTTGATCAGAAAAATTATACCCTCTAGTTAAAGGTCGTCATTAAATTCTCATATTTTGTGGGTAACCCTGTATGATTATGAAAAATGGTCTAACGGAATATGTGTACAGAGGATATCAAAGAATCCGTGGGTCTGGAGACAAGATATCTGGAACTAAATCTACTTGCTCAGGTAGGAATAGTCTTCTTAATAGTTCCCTACGGCCGGTCAAACGGATGCCTGGGGGTGACACAAGCAAAAAAAATTCTAAAATTTGTATTTTTCGAAAATCGATTAATCGGTTTTTTTTTCAAAAATCAGATTTTTTTAAAATTCGCTAAAAAAAATTCCACGGGCAACGCCGGGCCGTTAAGCTATCATTTGATAAATCTCTTCGCTTATATAAATATGTTAGTTATAGCAGGCCAAACGGCTGAACAAATTGACTGACATTCTTTTCTGAACCCCATAAGGTACCCTGAAACTTGCAAAGGCTAAAAAAATCAATTTTTTAAGTTTGACGGGCAACTCCGGACACTTCAGTTATACACATCCGATTGTTTAAATAAATGTCGCCTTTTTGTCGCATTTTTTATAGGATTAAGTGTAGTTGGAATTAGTTGTGTTTAAATAAACTGATGTCAACGCTCTGTTCATAAAGTTACGTTTTCGGCCTCTTAAAAAATCTACGAATTTTTCAGTTCCCCCGAGCGAGGCGAGTGATACAGACGACCACGATTCCGTTCACTCACTTCCGGTCGGATCTACGCGCGTCAAGGTCTCCGCGCCTGCGCACTCGGTCAGCAGTGGACACACACCTCAGGTCACAGATTTTTTTTGTCATGAAATATTTAAAAATTAATGGTTTATTTGTAAGTGATATATTAATAAAATGAAAGTGACATATTTAGGTATTAAATGTCAAAGGCGTGATGACAGAGGGGTTAATATTTTTTAAAATCATTTCCTTCCCCTTTTGAAAATCCTTTTTCTTTAAGAAGTTCATTATTTTTCTTAAAGAAGTTCATTATTTTTCTTAAAGAAGTTCATTATTTTTCTTAAAGAAGTTCATTATTTTTCTTAAAGAAGTTCATTATTTTTCTTAAAGAAGTTCATTATTTTTCTTAGAGAAGTTCATTATTTTTCTTAAAGAAGTTCATTACTTTTAACAGGGTTTTGCTGAATTAGGGAGAAATGATTTTCTAGGCGGGGTAAAATAAAATTTTGGGGAAAAGTTTTAAAAAGGGTTAAAAAAACTAGTCTTGACGTTATGATACATCTAAAATCATTCTTTATGTATATACTCTGGGTGGTGATGATTGTCGAAAAAGAACTTTCGACAATGTTTCTCCCTAATATGATCTTAATACTCTTATCTGCATTAGCGTACATAATCATTAATCACTCAATACACTCTGGATAGCACTTAACAAAAATAGTTAAAGCTTGAGATTTAAGATAAAAACCAATAAAGCATTTAACCATTAAATGTATAGGCGAGTTATGCCGATATCGCTCGACATGCTGCTGCTCTGTATACCCAGCAGGCAGGACAACAACAACATGCAGTTTATAGAGAACATTTACAGTACAGGTATAGTTTTAAATACAGGGGTTATAGAGAACATTTACAGTACATGTATAGTTTACATACAGGGGTTATAGAGAACATTTACAGTACAGGTATAGTTTTAAATACAGGGGTTATAGAGAACATTTACAGTACAGGTATAGTTTTAAATACAGGGGTTATAGAGAACATTTACAGTACATGTATAGTTTACATACAGGGGTTATAGAGAACATTTATAGTACAGGTGTAGCTTACACAGAAAACATTTACAGTACAGATATATTTATTATTCAGGGTTTATAGATAACAATAGCATGAACAGTACAGGGATAGTTTAAATACAGGGGTTATAGAGAACATTTACAGTACAGCTATAGTTTAAATTCAGAGCCCAAAACTTAAGACAGAGTATCGTAATGAAAACCAGTTTTAAAACCCGGGTTTCGCGAATGGGGTTAGGCAGTTTTGTGAATATCAATATTCTTGTAATGAAATATTATTTTTTTCAAGTTGTTTATATTCTCCATTTTTTTCGAATCTCTTAAATCAAAACCTACACAAATGCTAAGACCCCAGAAAAGAAACTCGGTAGTTTCGTTCGGGCTCAGGGGTTATAGAGAACATTTATAGTACAAGTATGGTTTACTCAGAAAACATTTACAGTACAGATATACTTTATCATACAGTGTTTATGGAGAACATGAACAGTTCAGGTATATTTTACATACAGGGGTTATAGAAAACAGTTACAGAATAGGTATAATTTACATACAGGGGTTATCGAGAACATTTATAGTACAGGTATAGTTTACACAGAAAGCATTTATATTACAGAATACTACATCATACAGGGGTTATAGAGAACATGAACAATACAGATATATCTTACTTACAGGGGTTATAGAAAACATTTAACATAAATGTTAATGATGAGATTTCCAGTATGGGGTCTCACCAAGGTCATATTCACTAGTATACGACCTTAACACGCCCTCTACCTTATGGCTCACATCTCAATATCTATTGGGGGTGCTGACGGGTCGGGTTACAATTTTTTTCTAAAGCCACTTAGATGACAAATGTCGCTCTCTATTATAAATAAATAAATCTAAAAAATTAAATTTTTCAGAGAAACTTCTCCCGGGAATAACAAGGAATCCATTTCTTCCACAGAGGGTGATATTCCTCCCTACACTCCTACCGAAGATATTCCTACAATTCATTCATTCCCCGCCCTAGTCCCGCCCACCCCTGCAGAAACCGCCACGCCCACCAAACCACCTTCAGCCTTGAATAATCAAAACATTGTGACCCCTGGTAAGGGGGAGAATTGTGATACTGTTTGTGAACCAAGAATAAACTCTGATATTAAAGTGACTAATCCATGTAATGATCCTAAACCTAATCCTGAACCTGCTTCTCATCCCACCCAACCCAGTCAGAATATTAAACCAAATAATCGTGATAAAGACACTAGAACTCTTAAGCATAGTCCTGCTCAATCCCAGACCAGTAAATCCCATATCAATTCCACAGCGTTAGAGACACCTAGTGGTAAATTATCGAACTACACAGTTAAACCAAAAGCCAGCAGTGAGACGCGGCTGATGAACGGTGGGACAGTGGATAAAAGTAGGAAAGCTACCAATGGTCCCTTCCCTGCTCAAGCTGTTGTCATTCTGGAGAAATCAGAAACGGAGCCCGACCAACAAGGAAAGAAAACACACAATTAAAATCAAGAAAAATATTTTTTATTCACCCCTTTACACTTCTTTACTTACTGTTGGGCATATTGTTTTTAGCTCTAGTTCAATTTTAATATAAATTTGATCAAAACTTCAGTTAAATTACTTGTCTCCCAAAATACAAACGAAATTTATTGAGATTTTTAGGTCAAATTTGTTCTTCTATTTAACAGAATTTGGGGAAATAATTATTAATTATAAGTAATAAGTACATTTTGAACGTATTTTTAAAGTCAATCGGTTATAAATAGTAATTCTCAATTTTTCAATCTGCTATTAAGCTACTTTTGGATGCCCATCTATCATGGTTTTTTTTTTTATGATTGTGATTCTGTGATTAGATCTCAGTTTTGGATTCGATCTTAACCCCGACCTTCTGGCAATGTCGGATAAAACTGAACTACCCGGGGACCAACCAACCAATCCAACCGATACCTCGGAAAACATCTCATCCAACCCGGAGCTCTGCTCCCAGCTGCAGAATGTCGATGAGTATTCTGAGGATGAGGATGAGAAGGAGTGGATGGAGAAGGAGGAGGAGAAGGAGTGGATGGAAGAAAAGGAGGAGGAGAAGGAGTGGATGGATGAGGAGGAGGAGAAGGAGTGGATGGAGGAGGAAGAGGGATGGTATGAGCAGCAGGAGAAGGAGAAGAAAGAGACCCGAAGGAGAAGTGATAGACGAAATTTTAACTATGATGTTATAGTGGATTTTGTAAACCAAGGTTATAATTTAGCTTTTATTAAACTAGATTTTTCTCTCTGGGTATTCATTGTTAAAAACAATTTTTCTCTCTCTGACCCCTGCCCCCCCCCCTTTCCCCTCCTAGTGCTTTTGATCCACAACATTTTGGCTTTCAAGATCCGGACCCATAAAATAATGCAGAGGGGCAAAACACCAACCGAAACCTGCTAAACATTTGCCTTTTGATCTCAAAAGTACATATCTGGGCTGAGAGATAACGAGCAATTATTAAAAACTTCACAATCTCGGAATGGTTCATTAGAATACAGTTTAAAAGTTCGCGAAAAGAAAAATGTTTTTTTTTCTTTGAGTAAATCTCTTTAAAACTTTGAGAATTTCTCTAGTTTTATCAGCCAATGCTAAACTTCTGATATTAATTTACATAATACATAATTTACATGGTCAAAAAAATTTATGATTTCAGGCTGGGATGTTGTTAGTTCTGAGTTGGTTGTCACTGGATCTAAAGTTACATATTACACAGTTAGCTAAATCTACGTCACCTGTTTAGCTAATAGGAGACCGAGCTCTTTTTTCAAATTTGTTGAATGAAAAATGTGGATTGTAAATGTTGGACCAATTGCCAGCTATTTGATCTGTTCCTTTTCCACGAAAATATAACCTCTTCTATTCTTGCAAGAGGGGCGAGCTTACAATCTGGAAATTACAACTTCTAAGCTATTTCACTGAATGAAAACTAGACTACTCGTCAAAACAGTAAAATCGATATTCTTGTAATAGCTTGTGATTGATTGAAAGCTAAATCAAGCTATTTGTCCTGTCTTTTAAGTGATTATTCAAACTAATATCAGCTAATCACAATATTTGCTAATAATTTAATTGGTTTTAAATTAAATACTAATCTGATAAGCTATAAAATAGCTTTACTATTTGTCTCCCTTGCTATTGATAGCTGTAGTACCACTAACTATGATTATAGTAACGAAAGATAACGTTGCATTACACTAACTAGTCACAAAAGAACTAACTGTACTACCGAATTAAGAAAATCCACGAAAATACTTCCTTTGTTCACTACACAGTACACTGTATACTATACGGTGTACACAATACACTATATACTGTACGGTGTACACTGTACACAGCACATATTGTACAGCCACACTGTTGCACTGTAAGTAAACAAGTGAATGTATGTGATTGTATCTAACATTAAATCCATATGTACATTATTGGAAATGTTAAAATGTATTAATTGTTTGTCAACCATTGATATTTTTTCCTAGATTTGTTGGTTAACAGTTCTACAACGTAAACCCAACAATCCTACTAGTTTTATAAACAGCTTATATATTTTTGCGAAAGCCAGTTAATCGTAGGATTAATTTGTGGCATTATTTGGCGTGTTAGCTTTGTGAAAGTAAATTTTTGTAATTTTCTCCAAATTGTCCAGTCCATACTCTATACCTAAATTGAATTTAATGGCACCTTAAAACTTTACTGCGTAGAACCAATCAGATTTAGATTTAACACGATTATCCATTTTTTAATCACCGCTTCGGTCCTAACAATCCTATTAATTATGGCTCCGTGTCAAAGAAAATTAGTCCTGATTTTTTATATAAAATATGGAAAAAAAATTCAGAACACGTAAAATCTTCGGATTTATTTTGTAACCAAATTTAATGTGTATAATTGATCTGACAGAAGTACGGTTCCTATGTTTTAACAATTAATCAAATTGAAAACTTTAGAATGGTCGATATCGAGATCAATGAATGATCTCCTCTTTTTCTAAATCTGGAGACTATCTTAATTCCTGAAAAGTGTATAAATTCAACCAATCAGAGTTGGGTATCAGAAGCCGGGAAATTTAAAATTTTGCGCGCCAATTAATGATAGTTCTCTAATTTAATTAAGATTAATTTACAGTATACACAGTATGAAGGGACTCTCTAATTTAAAAAAAAACGGTTTCTCATTCTTCTGTACTACATCCTAAAAGAGTGGATTAAGCAAGAAATTAATAGTGTCCACATTGGATATTCGGATTAAGCAGTCTGGATTAAAGGTATCCCATTCTAAAGTTCTCAGCTCTGATCAAGAATATAAAAATTATACAAAATACTAAGGATATAAGAATTATAAAAACCACCTATCGGAATAATATTTTGAAAAACATTTTTACAGAAATTAGGTTTTACATAAAGTTTTAAAGGTATTTCGTTGTAATTTTAAATGTACCTCCATTTTAGGGGATATTAAACTTGGAAAGTGTTCATCCTTAGTGAAGCAAAAAATTAGAAATCCACTTTTATAAGAGAAAATTTAAAAATGAAAATACTCAGTTTAAATAAAAAACACCAGGCCGAGAATGGAACTCATTTAAAATTTCTGCAACAAAGCCTTAAAAAGCCATTCAGAAAAACACCCCCTCCCTTCCCCCTGACCCCCCCCCTCCCTTCCCCCTGAAACATCTCTTGAAATCTTGATCCAAAAATGAGATGTCTTATTACTCGTATTCATTTAGTACCCACCGTACTTCTGAAATTTTTTTAACCTTTGAACGTTTTATCTTTGTTAAATGGTATATTTATAATGTTGTTTATATATCGATGTATAAAAGGCGACACTTTGATAGCCACTTTATATCGCCTATTGATTGTTAAATGTAATCATCTTTTTTGTTTAAATTGTTTCAACTAAGTTGCGGTGAAAATGATTACTTATCAATACTATTTAACCCTTCAAAATCAATGGTGTAATCATCTTTCTATTTTTATCAGGTTTTTGTTTAATTTGCTTCTCTAAACAATCTAATACAATAACTCTAGTCAAAATTTGTTGAATTATTAGCTATTTATGTAGCAAGCTTTGTAAGTATAAGCTATATATTTTAATCAATTATAGCTATGTTCGCAGTAAGGGTTTAACATTTTTCTGAAGCAATTTTTAAACTACTACTAGGAATAATAAGACACACGTTTAAAATGCATTTTCACAAATATCAAAAATGAACGTCTTTAATGGGGTTTGATGATAAAAAATGAGAAAAAAAAATACTACAGTTAAACACTAAATGAGTCATACATCGAAAGAATTTATTAAATGTCGTCTTGACAATTGTTCAATGGGCTTTATACTATTTTACGTAAACCTCTGTATTTTCGGAAATAAATAAAAAGCCATGAATATGCGGAAACAGTTATAAAGAGCTCCATATAATCTTTTAATCATAAAAAACTAAATATCGTCAACATTCCGTTATCAGAAAGTGAAGAATACGACATTTGATTAATTCTTTCGATGTATGGCTTATTTATAGGTTTTAACTGTAGTAGAAGCATTTTTTAAAATCTTAAAATAAACAAAAACAAAATAAAATTTTCGAGAAAAAAAATATTTCAATTTTCAAATTTTTCAATTCTGTACATTTTTTGAACTGATTGAATCCCATTTGGGGCGCCCATTTTTTAATTTTGTGAAAAACGTAGTTTTAATCATGCCGGCTTAGAATTCCTAGTGGAATACTACAGAGCGTCTCATATCATATTAGATTATCTCGACAATCTTTAACACCAAAATACGCACATAATACTAAAAAATCTAGCATTTTCTGCAAAAAAAAAATTCTATAAGCCTTATTATATTTTTTAAAATGATTCATTCTTCTTAAATTTTCTGATTTATCCCTCAAATTGTAATTTAGACCCATTGACGCGGTCTAATTTGATGTGGGACACCCGTATTTCGCTTCTGTAAATTAGGTTCAGAGAAATGTCTCACCCCTGGAACCCAGAAATGTTTCTACAAAAAGCTTTGATAAAACTAACTATATCGTCTATGACAGAAACCCTGTTTTAGCAAGCTATTAATTTAATAGCTATGTCTATGTCTGGACGGATTTATGGCTTAGCTATATTCACTGAAAGCTGAAAATGAGAGTAGCTATTTTGCTGGCTATTTAATGAACAGCGATGTTAGTAGCTAATTTAAAGTTTAATTTCAAAAGTACTGATGCGACATGTTAGGGGAGTATTTTTTATTTTTTAAATTTCTAGCACATTTTAATAATTATCAATATTTTTTATATATTTTATTTCATTGAAAATACAAGAAATATATAAATTTTTCAAGGTCTGAAAATATACTCTTGGTGCGCGCGTTCAATTCTTTGATAAAAATACTCATACAAGAACAAGAAAACTAAATTGTTAAACTCTTCAGTTAAACCATTCGTTTGTTATTGTTTTTATTATTATATAATTAAATAATGATTTTGCATTAAAATTTAAAAGTGTAAGCATTATTTTATAATAGTTATGTATTGGCTAACTGCGATCGTATGAACATTTTGTGATTGTAATAGTTAAATTTTGTACGAGCTGTTTGCCAGATTTTAACCAGATTCAGAATTAAGGGTATATGTTTGGATCTAAATGATTTTGGGGTTCTAAGATTTTCCTTTAAAAATTCTTGCCTTTTAATTGGCTGGTCTGTAAAACGTCTATTTCCACAATTTTATGAATATCATTAACGTATGCGAATTTGGAACTTATTCTGAATTATGAACGATTAAAGTCAAAAAATCATATTTTTTTCATTAAATTTACTTCAATTTTGTTTGCGTTTATTTAATTAAATTTATTTTGAACGTCAGAATGAAATCGTAAAATAATTTTATCGATTGTTCTCTCTCTATCATATTATTATAATTCAACCCCTGAACATGCTTCCCTAAATAAAACAATAAAATTAAAAGGAGAAACAAAAAATATTTTCCAGCTATTTATCATCTAGCAGACTAGAATTTTAATCTATTCGATGTCAGATTCACAACGGTACCCTTGGAAACCTTTATCTGACCAGTTATTTGGACTGAACTGTCTGATCTCTTTCTTTCTTTAAACATTTTTATTTTGACAATTCCTTATCTTTTATGTTTTTCTGGAGTAGAAATGCGCCAGCCTCTTCTGTCGAGGTTTCAAATTGTCGGACAAAGCTTTTATGGGTACCATTGTGAATCAGGTAAGTCCATCTTTGCTCAGAGGGTCACTTAAAAGTTTGACAATGTTTTCGTCTGAAAATTATTTTCTTAAATTTTTCCTAGATCGTTCTATTTTACGATTGGTGATCTTTTCAACAAAAAAAATAGTCAATCCTTAGAATAATTTCTAAATATCCAATAATATTCTTAATTCTGGACCTTGTCCAGGGTAGGATCTGAAGGATGGCAAACTGTTGAATATTTATTTATCTATTCGTCATGTTTATCAATCGCAAATATATCATGTAATCAATTAGGCTTTTTATTTTGTTTTGATTTTGTTCGATGGGAGAGAAAACATAGAACAAGTTTCTTTCCAAAAAATATCCTAACTGGTGCCCAAATTCACTAAAGCGGTCTGCCTACAATTTCTGGGCCCTCAACAGTAAAAAAGCTGTCACCTACTGCCTGAACCCTTAGACATACTGCCTAAATGTCAATGTAATTTTTCCTTTGCTAATTAAATCTCTGCTTATAGCTCTTAGAAATACGTTCTTTTTAGATTTAAAGTAATAGATTCAAAATGATAGAAATGAGAAGCAAAGTCTACAAATGTCGAGAAATTTTGGTAATATTTTGTACTCGTCTCGTTGACTGTTTTTCTTCATCTTGATACAAAGTTTTTGAAATGTTGAAAATAATTTACAAACAAATGAATATATGAAATTTGCTACTTTGTCAGTCAAGTCCAAAATTTTGTAAATTGTAAATGCCAAAAAGAATCTTTGATTTTGGAAATTTCTTATTTTTCAGATTGGAATTTAGATGCTATTATGTTTATTTTAGAAAAGAGCTTTATAAAAATTAATCTCCTAGAATTTTCTAGATGCTCTTTCTCAACTATTGCGCATGCCCTGTCGAGCCCGGTTCATTGGCGCAATAATTTAAGTATCTTCTAGAACTTTGGACAGGGGTAAATGCTTTTTCGAAAAAAAAATATCCTACCTTAATTATCAAAAGTGTTGACTTGTTGATTTTTTTTTCTGAAAATGTGAGAAATATAGTTTTAATTTTTCCGACATTAGTTTATGTCTTGAAACTATATACCCCTATATTTCTAGAAGCTGTAGCTCTTCTCCCTGCGCATGCGCAGTAATGCCTTGAACCCGGTTTTCTTACATAAAATAAAGTAAATTCTAGAAAGTTCTAGAAAGGTTACTGCGAATACATAAACCCGACCGAGCTCTGAAACACTTCAGTATTTGAAATACAAACTATCAGAACACAAAAGCTAAAAGTTATAAATCTAAACTATCAAAATGTCTGAAGAAGTGGAAACCTTTGCTTTCCAGGCCGAGATTGCTCAGCTAATGTCTCTGATCATCAACACTTTTTACTCCAACAAGGAAATCTTTCTCCGAGAGTTGATTTCAAACTCCTCCGATGCTCTGGATAAAATCAGATATGAATCCCTCACTGATGCCAGCAAGCTTGACGGACAGAAAGAACTCTTTATCAAGATCATCCCTGATACTGATGCTAAGACCCTCACCATCATTGATACCGGAATTGGAATGACCAAGGCTGACATGATTAACAACCTGGGAACTATTGCTAAGTCTGGAACTAAAGCTTTTATGGAAGCTCTGCAGGCTGGGGCAGATATCAGTATGATTGGACAGTTTGGAGTTGGTTTCTATTCCGCCTACTTGGTTGCTGACAAGGTAGTTGTCACCTCAAAGCATAACGACGACGAGCAGTACATCTGGGAGTCCAGCGCTGGAGGATCTTTCACCATCAAGACCGACAACGGTGAGCCCCTGGGCCGTGGAACCAAGATCGTTCTCCACATGAAGGAAGATCAGTGCGAGTATATTGAGGAGAAGAAGATCAAGGAGATTGTCAAGAAGCACTCTCAATTTATTGGATATCCTATCAAGCTCTTGGTCCAGAAGGAGCGTGAGAAGGAGGTTTCCGACGATGAGGCCGAGGTTGAGGAACCCAAGGAGGGAGAGGAGCCTAAGATTGAGGATGTTGGAGAGGATGCTGATGCTGAGAAGAGCACAGAAAAGAAGACTAAGAAGATCAAGGAGAAGTATACTGAGGATGAGGAACTGAACAAAACCAAACCTATCTGGACTAGATCTCCTGATGATATCTCTAATGAGGAGTATGGAGAGTTCTACAAGTCTCTGACCAACGACTGGGAGGATCACCTTGCTGTCAAACATTTCTCTGTTGAGGGTCAACTTGAGTTCAGAGCTCTTCTTTTCATACCCAAGCGCGCCCCTTTTGATCTCTTTGAGAACAAAAAGTCCAAGAACAACATTAAGCTGTATGTTCGCCGTGTATTCATCATGGATAACTGCGAGGACATCATTCCTGAATATCTCAACTTTGTTCGAGGAGTTGTCGACTCTGAAGATCTTCCCCTCAACATATCTCGTGAGATGCTTCAGCAGAACAAGATTCTCAAGGTCATCAGAAAGAACATTGTCAAGAAGGTCATGGATCTCATTGAAGAGATCTCGGAGGATAAAGACAACTACAAGAAGTTCTATGAACAGTTTGGGAAGAATATCAAGCTCGGAATCCATGAGGATTCTACCAATAGGAAGAAGCTGGCTGGATACCTCCGATTTATCACCTCAGCCTCTGGAGATGAAATGTGTTCTCTCGGAGACTATGTCTCCAGGATGAAGGAGAACCAGAAGGATATTTACTACATCACTGGAGAATCCAAGGACGTTGTTGCATCCTCCTCTTTTGTTGAAAGACTAAAGAAGCGCGGCCTTGAGGTTGTTTACATGACTGAACCTATTGACGAGTATGTAGTTCAGCAGCTCAAGGAGTTTGACGGGAAAAACCTCGTCTCTGTCACCAAGGAGGGTCTGGAGCTCCCTGAGGATGAGGAGGAGAAGAAGAAGAGGGAGGAGGACGTGAAGAAGTATGAACCCCTGTGCAAGGTGATGAAGGATATCCTGGATAAGAAGGTTGAGAAGGTTATTGTCTCTAGCCGTCTAGTCTCATCCCCCTGTTGTATTGTTACATCTCAGTATGGCTGGACTGCCAATATGGAGAGGATCATGAAGGCCCAAGCGCTCAGAGACACCTCCACCATGGGGTACATGGCGGCAAAGAAGCATCTGGAGATCAACCCCGACCATTCCATCATAGAGAACCTCAGAGTCCGTGCCGAGACTGACAAGAACGATAAGTCTGTAAAGGACCTCGTCCAACTTCTATTCGAGACCTCACTGCTCAGTTCCGGGTTCAGTCTCGAGGATCCTATGGTTCATGCCTCCAGGATTCAGAGGATGATCAAGCTTGGTCTTGGTATTGACGAGGAGGACAATGAGACCGAGGCTGTGGAGGATCTTGATATGCCTCCTCTAGAAGGTGATGCTGAGGATGCGAGCAGGATGGAGGAAGTTGATTAAGTTGATAATATTTATATATTTTTAATCAAAAATTCACTCAGTTGTATTTATTTTTTATATTTTGTAAATAATTAATTTATGATTGCCTTGTTTTTGTATTTTTAGTTCACAATAAACTTGAAATATATTCTATGTTTTTTGTTTGCGCCACCGAAAGAATGATGTTCGATTAAAGGTTAAAAAAGTCTAGCAAAAAAAACGTGAACTTTTTCTCAATTTTGACAATAACCAATAAAAACATAATATTTAAAAGTCTATACTTTTTCATAATGATGTAAAGAAAATTGTAAAAATATTTTGTAAATTCTAACTTCACTGCGAGTTAAAACGTTCGTTCATTCAGTAGTAACCCAGTAAACATACACGTGTCCGGCACCAGATTATCTAGTGTTAACTGGTGTTGAGATATCACGTGTTAAAAAACATCTCTGTAATATATTTTAGAAAAGTTTCGGAAAATAAAATCATTAAATTGAGAAAAAAAAGCAAATGAAAACTTTAATAGAAAATAATTATTGGGTGTAGAAGACTAACATTGTCATCTTTCAATGACACCAATTTTGGTGGGAAAATGGAGACAAAAATTTATTTAGACCCGAAAAAAGGGTATTTAATAGGTTTTTTGATTAAGATATCACTTGACGTTATTAGCAAGATAAAAATGCACGGTTTTGTGATTTTTTTATCTATTATTGAGACCGGGCCAGGTAAACTTTTCTAGATGTAGCGCTATATCAAAACAACAGGGACAATTTTTTGACAAAAAAATGACCCTCCGATTTGGCTGAAATGTTATACACATCTTAATGTGTGAAGAAAAATTATAATTCATCTTTAAAATAACTCTTTGACATCACTGTTGAAAACAGGGTGCAGCAATAATGTGAGGAAAACTTTTAAACTTCTAACTTTGGTCAAAAAAGATAATCAAATTAAGTTATGTTTGACCACTGTTTAAATTTTCCGGAGAGTAATACGATTTATGCCCCCCCCCCCCCCAATTATTTTTACCACTTTTAGACAAGAAACTAAATTAAATCATCCTTAAAAAGATGTATTCACGAGTTTTCCAATTAACATATGATAATAATATAATAGTACTGGCTTGGGAACTCAGTTACTCCTGCCGTTTACCCGCGCTTGGTTGAAATTACGATTTTATCTATTTTTCCCAATAGAAGTATATCTACTTAATTGAGAATCTCAAAACAAAGCTAGGAACATTCCCGTGGTTATACCCCCCAATCAAAATTAGAGGCAAATCGGCCGATGGGTTCCTGAGTTATGAACGGATATACGTAAACACTAACAGATTGCTATTTTATATATATAGAACTGGCTTGGAAACTCAGGTTACTAAAGTTACTTCAACCGTTTACCCGCAAAACCACGCCAAGAAAATTTTCGTGTGTCTCCCGAGTCCCCCACTCAAAATTTGAGGCAAATCGGCACAGGAGTTCCTAAATTATGATTGGACAGACAAGCAGAGATATTCATGAAATAAAATTTGTTGCTTAGTTATATATATTTTTGTATAAATGTTAGCTATGGCTGGCTGAACGGCTGTACCAAATTGGCTACATTTTTTGGAGGTGACCCATGAGTACCCCTCGGACAGGCTAGAAAGATTCAAAATTCAATTTATTAATATATATATGTTCAAAGAATTGTAACTACTGAGGGTAGTCATGATAGGCGTTAAACATTATGTTTAGTATAATTCTTTTTTAATAAAAAAAACTGAAATATATGTATATATAACCGTTTATATCTTCATTGCTTTTATTATTCATATCTATATCAAGAAAGGAAAGAAATATGTATATTCTATATATCTATATCTATATCTATTTATATATCCATAGATGTATATATATCTTAACTCTATTTCTAGATCTATTTCAATATTTATATATTCATATATATAAATACTATATATATAGTATTTTAAACTTTTTTCAGTTTAAATATACATTTTAGAAGTTTAAATATATATTTTTATATATCTAATATATAGAAAGGGAAAAAAATTATTTATATTCATATCTATATCTTAAATTTATTTCTAGATCTATTTCAATATGTATATATTCATAAATTCGCTGAAATCTTTGTTAGAAACTTAGGCTTTAAAAAATTGTCTCTATGTTTATATATCTATATCTTTATTTATATGTATATTTAGGCCAGATCAAGGATTGGAATGATGAAAAGAAAAATATTTTTCCACTGTATTAGTTTTAATTGTGATTTCTGGATTAAGCAAATCTATAAAGTATTCAATTTTCTTTCCAGTCAAATTAAATTAAACTTTAAACTGTTTGTTGTCGGATATAAGTAATTTAGCATTCAAATAATGTGAATAATATTATATTAGATTTAAAGCTGCGGAAATTTTTTAACCTTATGTAATAATTCTTGTTGTGTAACGAAAGTGTTCTAGATTATTCTAGAAAATATATCTACAAATCTCCACCGTGATATTCCTCGACCAATGAGAGGCCGATTCTAATAAAACTACCAATCAGAGGAGAGCAAATGTTCTAGAAAATGCACGGACAGTTTGCGCACTAAACAGATTTTACAGTATTCTAGAAAATTCTTCTTGGGTATATACAGACACAACATTGCCTTCTACAGCCAGTTATTAAATACAAAACCTACAGGACTAATATAGAATTCTTAATTTACTGAAGGTAAACTCAGTATTAAAATGGTGAAACAAGCTGCTATTGGAATTGATCTTGGTACCACCTACTCCTGTGTAGGTGTATTCCAGCATGGTAAGGTGGAGATCATAGCTAATGATCAAGGGAACAGAACTACTCCTAGCTACGTAGCATTCACTGATACTGAGAGATTGATTGGTGATGCTGCTAAGAACCAGGTTGCCATGAACCCTAACAATACCATCTTTGATGCAAAGAGGTTGATTGGTAGGAAGTTTGATGATGACACTGTTAAAGCAGACCTGAAGCACTGGCCCTTTAAGGTTGTGAACAGTGGAGGTAAGCCTAAGCTTGAAGTGGAGTATAAGAATGAGAATAAGCAGTTTACTCCCGAGGAAGTGAGCGCTATGGTGCTAGTGAAGATGAAGGAGACTGCTGAAGCATACCTGGGTTATCAGGTCAAGGATGCTGTTGTTACTGTACCAGCATACTTTAATGATTCTCAGAGACAAGCAACCAAAGATGCTGGAGTTATTGCTGGATTAAACATTACTCGGATTATCAATGAACCCACTGCAGCAGCTATTGCCTATGGTTTAGACAAGAAGAGCAGCTCTAAGGGGGAGAAGAATATTCTTATCTTTGATCTTGGTGGAGGAACATTTGATGTGTCCATCCTTTCAATAGATGATGGTATATTTGAAGTTAAAGCTACGGCTGGAGATACTCATCTAGGAGGAGAAGATTTTGACAACAGGATGGTTGAGCACTTTATCCAGGAGTTCAAGAGGAAGCATAAGAAGGATATTTCTGGAAACAAGAGAGCACTCAGAAGATTGAGAACTGCCTGTGAAAGAGCCAAGAGAACCTTGAGTTCAGCAGCTCAAGCAAATATAGAAATTGATTCTCTGGCTGAGGGAATTGATTTCTATACATCAATCACTCGAGCAAGGTTTGAAGAACTATGCTCTGATCTGTTTAAGGGAACCCTGGAACCTGTGGAGAAGGCTCTGAGAGACTCCAAGCTTGACAAATCCTCCATTGATGAGATGGTTCTAGTTGGAGGTAGTACTAGGATACCTAAAGTTCAGAAACTTCTTCAGGATTTCTTTAATGGTAAGGAGCTGAACAAATCCATCAACCCTGATGAAGCTGTTGCATATGGAGCAGCTGTTCAAGCTGCTATTCTGAATGGGGATGAGAGCAGTGAAGTTGGAGATTTGTTGCTTCTTGATGTTGCTCCTCTATCCATGGGTATTGAAACTGCTGGAGGAGTTATGACTGCTCTGATCAAGAGGAATACAACCATCCCAACTAAACAGACTCAGATCTTCACAACATACAGTGATAATCAACCAGCTGTGACAATACAGGTTTATGAGGGAGAAAGAACAATGACCAAGGATAATCATCTCCTGGGTAAGTTTGATCTGACTGGTATACCACCAGCTCCCCGGGGAACTCCACAGATTGAGGTTACCTTTGATGTTGATGCTAATGGTATCCTAAATGTATCTGCTGCTGAGAAGGGTAGTGGGAAGCAGGAGAAGATCACAATCACCAATGACAAGGGAAGACTATCCAAGGAGGAGATAGAAAGGATGGTCAATGATGCTGAAAAGTTCAAGGATGAAGATGAAGCACAGAAGGAGAGGGTTGCTGCCAAGAATGGACTTGAAGCATATATCTTCAACATGAAATCCTCTCTAGATCAAGATGAAGTAAAAACCAAGCTCTCTGCATCTGATATCTCTGAGGCCAAGAACCAACTGGACTCTGCCCTGGCCTGGTTGGACAGGAACCAGCTTGGAGAGAAGGAGGAGTACACAGAAAAGCAGAAGGAGCTGGAGAATGGTCTGAAGATGATTGTATCTAAGCTGTATGGACAGGGGGGTGCAGGAGAAGTAGGAGGAGCTGATAGTTGTGGAGCTCAAGCCAGACAAGGAGCTAAAGAACCAACTATTGAGGAGGTGGATTAAATGAATGTATTAAATAATACTATTATGTGATATCAATTATAATAAGTAATATTTACTTTATAATAAATAAAAAAGTTTTAATAATCATTGTATACACTTTTAAAATCTTGATTTTGAGAATATCTAAATCATGGAAGAGTAATTTTAGTTCAAAATTTGAATGATTTGATTTTAAAATAGCATTAGAAAAGAGGATCAGTACCGGGCCTACTTTCAATGAACTAGAGCAAGTTTGGCAAAACAAATACAGACTATTTAAGGCAAAACGTGGCAATTGCACCATAAGTATGATCATGGATCTTTCGACGCCCATAGAAGCTTATATTGATAATTGTTCTTGTTATTTAACAAAAGTAAAAGTTGAATTCATTCTTCTAAAAATGAAAAAGATCTTATTGCTTTCCTGCTGTGTTATAGTAGCTAAAAATTGAATGATTGAGAATAATTATAGTTTTCAAATTTTCACTATCTAATTCATTAAAGGAATTGAGTTTTAGCCAGGAACTTAAATTAGAGGTAAGCCTTCAATATTTCAAACTATGAATTCTGTTAGACCGAATAAGCTTAGTTTGAAATATCATAGGTTTGCACTATCAGGTTGAGAAGATATAGGAATTTGAGTTTGTGACAAAAACTCAGTTCTTTTCGTCAAATTTTTAAATAATGTTATCCATGTTGTCAATTGTTTGCCATGAAATATGATGAGTAATAGCTGGTACCTGGACTTCAATCTTAGAATTTAAGAATTAGGTTTTTAAAAGAAATTAACTCAATTAAAAAATTACCCCTCCCCCCCCCCAAAAAAAAAATCACACACACATATTTAAATTTAAGCTTGGTAGACGAAATCAGTAAAAGTTCAGAGATTTAAAGGTACAAAATAAAAACATTTCAGAAGAATGTTAAGTAATTCTTGTTGATTTATCACAATTGAGATAACAAGATTGTTCAATTATATATACATTGATTCATACTTGATCTAACAAATACGTAAATTATACCATTGTGAATCGGTCATTATTATCTTTAAAATGGATTATCACTTAAAATTACGCTTATAATCCCTTTAATCGTGTTTATAAAATTGTTATAGTCTGGCTCAGCGGATCCAATTTTTTCAGGCCGGATCCATCTAGGACTAGAATCAAATGTATCCTAACTGCAGTGTTTAAGGATTTTATTCCAAGCCGCTTTTGAGTAAAGATTAGGGTGGTAACTCTCTTAAAGGCCTTTCCCAAGGCCAACTTTCCAAGTGACAATTTCCAAAGTTAGTTAAGGCCCAATTGGGACTCACCGCTATGGCTCAGATTGTTACCGAGGCTGAGTTTTGCGGCTAGGATTGGTACGGAGGCTGAGTTCTGCGGCTAGGATTGGTACGGAAGCTGAGTTCTACGGCTAGAATTTGTACAGAGGCTGAGTTCTGCGGCTAGGATTGGTTATGGAGGGTGAGTTTTGCAGCTAGGATTGGTACGGGAGCTGAGTTTTGCGGCTAGGATTGGTACGGGAGCTGAGTTCTGCGGCTAGGATTGGTACGGGAGCTGAGTTTTGCAGCTAGGATTGGTACGGAGGCTGAGTTCTGCGGCTAGGATTGATTATGGAGGGTGAGTTTTGCAGCTAGGATTGGTACGGGAGCTGAGTTCTGCGGCTAGGATGGGTACGGGAGCTGAGTTTTGCGGCTAGGATTGGTACGGGAGCTGAGTTTTGCAGCTAGGATTGGTACGGAGGCTGAGTTTTGCGGCTAGGATTGGTACAGGAGCTGAGTTTTGCAGCTAGTATTGGTACGGGAGCTGAGTTCTGAAGCTAGGATTGGTACGGGAGCTGAGTTTTGCAGCTAGGATTGGTACGGGAGCTGAGTTTTGCGGCGAGGATTGGTACGGGAGCTGAGGTTTGCAGCTAGGATTGGTACGGGAGCTGAGTTTTGCAGCTAGGATTGGTACGGGAGCTGAGTTCTGAAGCTAGGATTGGTACGGGAGCTGAGTTTTGCAGCTAGGATTGGTACGGGAGCTGAGTTCTGCGGCTAGGATTGGTACGGGAGCTGAGTTTTGCAGCTAGGATTGGTACGGGAGCTGAGTTCTGAAGCTAGGATTGGTACGGGAGCTAAGTTTTGCAGCTAGGATTGGTACGGGAGCTGAGTTTTGCGTCGAGGATTGGTACGGGAGCTGAGGTTTGCAGCTAGGATTTGTACGGGAGCTGAGTTTTGCAGCTAGGATTGGTACGGGAGCTGAGTTCTGAAGCTAGGATTGGTACGGGAGCTGAGTTCTGAAGCTAGAATTGGTACGGGAGCTGAGTTCTGAAGCTAGGATTGGTACGGAAGCTGAGTTCTGTGGCTAGAATTGGTACGGAGGCTGAGTTCTGCGGCTAGGATTGGCTAAGAGGCCAAGCGCTGCGGAAAAAAACAGAATTGGGAACCGAGCGCTGCGGCTAAACCAACCTTGCGGAAGTTGTCACTTGGGAAAATAGCCTTGGGAAGTTGCCGCAAGTAGAAATGCGTTAAAGTACCTATATTACCCAGAGAATGGGCGGGAGGGGGGCAAAAGAAATCTATCCCCTTTAAGTGCATCTGAAAAAAAACCTGCCAGATGTGCGACACAACATGTTTAGGAAGCAATAGTAAAATCCGAATACTCGCAATTTGAAATAATTTTCCAAAATGACTTTTTTAAGGTTTTCATTCAATTTCTGGAACTTAATTGTTTGAATTTTCGGCGAAATTTTATTTAGGGTATTTTTATGCTATAACCCCCAATCCAGGGTAGGGTTAAGAATTTCAAGATTTTAAAAAAAAATTGTTCTTAAAACTTGCAACATTTGTATTCTTCGTTGAATGACTCAACCCTCTTGGTTTAAAGCTTAATATTCGTCATTGAATGATGAAAATAGATATTTTACTCCCACTCTTCTTTTTAACACATCCGGCACCACTAAGGGGCTGTAAGCGTAATTTCAAGTGACCCTCCATGCACAGTTGGGAATGTTCAATTTACAACGGTACTCTTCAAACCTAAATCTGAATAAACATGTGACGGATAATGTCTTTTCTGAGTTAATTAAAAAGTGTTTGATTTTGTATGAGTTTCTTCTTTGCCTCATACAAGTGTGAAATGCGCCAATAAGTGTGCAGAAAAACTGCAATTGAAAATAGTCTCTATAAAAAAGCAAAAACATTGATATCTAATAACGTCTAATTTAAGTAAAATTAATTAGCTTTTACAAAAAATGTTTAAAATTTGTAACATAAATATTAATTTTGTTTTCTTGTGCGTAAACGTAAAAGACTAGAGGTGCTCTGAGGTCACCAAGGCGTACCGGTAATGTTTATAGAGAAATTGAGTCGTTGTCACAAACTCAAATTTTATAATGACTGTACCTTTGCAACTTGACGGTGTAAACCTTTGATATTTTAAACTTAGGTTATTTAATCTAAGAGAATTTTTAGTTTGAAATATCTAAGATCTACAGTATTGGGTTGCAAAGATATAGGGAGTAGAAAATCATAGTTTGTGGCAAAGACTCAGTTCCTTTAACCCTGTTCTTCTGTTTAGTGTACAGCGTTATTCAAACTTTATCAAACAATGCTTTAAAGGGTACCGTTGTAAATCGGGCATTGCCATCTTTGTGTGATGGAGGCCGGAGGGTCTCTTGAATTTACCTGTCCCTGTTCTCCCTGTACACTATATTTTAAGGTACCCGTCCTATATAAAAGGGTATGTCTGATTTAAAACGGTTCCACTTTCTACCTCTTTCTACTCTTTCTTCCTCTTTCTATACCTCTGTCTACCTCTTTCTACATCTTTCTACCTCTTTCTACCTCTTTCCATCTCTTTCTACCTCTTTCTACCACTTTCTACCTCTTTCTACATCTGTCTACCCCTTTCTACCTCTTTCTACCTCTTTCTACCTCTTTATACCTCTTTCTACCTCTTTCAACCTCTTTCTACCTCTTTCTACCTCTTTCTACCTCTTTCTACCTCTTTTACCTCTTTTTTCCTCTTTCTACCTCTTTCTACATCTTTCTACCTCTTTCTACGTCTTTCTACCTCTTACTACCTCTTTCTACCCCTTTCTACCTCTTTCTAACTCTTTCTACCTCTTTCTAACTCTTTCTACATCTTTCTACCCCTTTCTACCTCTTTCTACCTCTTTCTACCTCTTTCTATCCCTTTCTACCTCTTTCTACCCCTTTCTACCCTTTTCTACCTCTTTCTACCTCTTTCTACCTCTTTCTACCCCTTTCTACCCCCTTTCTACCCCTTTCTATCCCTTTCTACCTCTTTCTACCTCTTTCTACCTCTTTCTACCCCTTTCTATACCTTTCTACCTCTTTCTACCCCTTTCTACCCCTTTCTGTCCCTTTCTACCTCTTTCAACCCCTTTCTACTTCTTTCTACCTCTTTCTTGCTATAAAAGAGAAACAATTCGCAGTTTTTCTATCTTGAAAAGTGTTAGATTCTGCCAATTTTCTTCATTGTCTCTGTAGCATAAATCTGTAATAAAAAAATATTAATATGATGGAATAAAATAAGGATCTCTCAGACAAAAGTTTACCGGGTACGTAAATCGGAAATGCCATTTCATAAAAATAAAATAAAATGTCATTTGAAAATACTTCTTTGGTTCTTTTAACCCCTTTACACACTAAGATCAACAGAGATATCAACGTATGTACAAATTTTCTTGTTTTTAACTACAAGTAAGTTATTTATACAAATACCCTAAGAATGCAATCAGACATTTTTGTCTTGCGATCTACATCTATCTATTCTTAAGATGGATGTATCTATCTATCTATCTATCTGTGAGTGGGTTGACGGAGCTCCGAATATCTTCAGTCGTGTCTCAGCAGTTGTGTGGGAGAGAGCGCTAGTGTATATTTTGTGAATTTATATTATTAAACCTGGGGACCCTAACCCCCGCCACACTCTGTAAGTACCACCCTCCCTCCTTATATTAATAAATGAAGGGAAAAGAAGTGATTTTACTTGTGATAAAATAATCCAGTGATGGTTGAAAGTGTGTGTATTTAAATACCAGCGTATAGGTAAAAGTATATATACATATGTGAGCTTAGGCGTAGCGCCAGGCGCCTAGGGTAGAGGAGGCGCCAGGCTGTAGAAACTGAGATTTCGCAATATGTATAGGCGCATGCCAAATTCTGCAAATTTGTCCATTATTCCCTGATTTTTTATTTGCAAAATTATAATATTACCTTATATAAGTTTTTATTCTTTATTGATCATCAAACCCTAATACTAACTGATGAAACATGTTTTTATAACATATTTTTAATAATTTGCTTCAACAATGATTCCCCTAGGCTAGAGGGGGGGGAGGGGGTTAGGACAAGTTGTATTGTCTAATAATGGTTAAACGCTTAAATAAATATTGCTTTACAACACTAAGTTTTAATCTAGATTTTTTATTTACTGTTGTTACAACAATATTTTAGATATTTTAAGCTGGTAGAAAACCAAAATAGAAATATCATCGTAAGAGTTCATTTTGAGAACGTTCTCTGTGATTTTTTTACTCTTATAATTTTGCGGGATGAGGGGAGTTTTAAAATTTATAGAAAATATTTTAAATCTTTGATTATTTATATTTTCATCTTCCATCCAACAGAAATGAAATAAAAATAAAAATAGGAAGACGCTATTTAAGCAATCTTATGAGTGTTTATTGCTGTGATACAAGTTGTAATAAAACCATCTTATTAAATGAAATTCTTCTGCCTCTAATGCTGTATTTCATGTTCTTTTAGACTATTTAAACGAGATTCTAACAGCCGTCTTTATAATTTTATGAAACTATTGTGTACTTTATCATTATAACCCATTTCCTCGTGAATTTCATAATGAACGTGTTATAATGTAATCATCGTGCTAATGCTACATATAATGTTAAATTAGCTGTACATCATAGCACGTTGCCACGTGTGTTATAAAGTTCCCGGATTTTCTCCAACAAATTTAGGGTATTTCCAAAAAAAAATTTTCAATTGAAATGAAAATAACATTGAAATCAACTTTATATTTGACTTCTGCTTTGTTTCAAAGATTATTTGATCAAGAAATAGCCATTGAAATAAGACAAGTACACAAAGTTTTCATAAAATTACCTATAACACTATTATTTTGACACGACGTGTTATAAAGTTTTTGGACTTAAATTTTCTCTATATCTCAAAGGTTCTCGTCTTTTAGATTATATTTTGTCCCTCGCTAAAAACTAAATCTAAAAATGCTTGAACCTTCTCCATAGAGAAAATTTCTGTCCAAAAACTTTTTAACACTGCGAACGAAAATAACAATGTTATAAATAGTTATTATGGGTCTCACTGTAAAAAAGGCCATGTAAGCACTGTAAAATGTCTCAAAGTGTCCTGAATTTCTCGTCTTTCATAATTTTATATTTATAAACCCATGTTGTGTCATTCCTACCGTAACAGCTGATTTGATAATTAATACTTTCAGTATTTATGGTTTTAAGGGTTTCAAGGGGGGGGGGGCAAAAGGAAGTAGTGGGTTGAAAGGAAAAGGGGAGGGGGGTGAAAGGGAAAATGGGGGTGGGGGAGGAAGACTGGGTTCGTCTAATTACCCCCTCTCTGAATCATTGAAATTCATAATTATATGTATCAGAAGTAAAAATTGGATATCTTTATGCTTTCTTTGACCCCCGGCCCCTGACCCCTCATCTTCCATCTGTCTTCAGTTCAGCTGTTTGTCTCTTTGTCTGAAATAATTAAATTATTTTGTTTGAATATCTACATTTTTGTTTTTGTTGGGTTGGATTTATTTTCCTTTTTACAAAAAAAATGAAATTCTTAAAATTCAAATCAAATTCTGGAAACTAGAAATGAATTTTTAAATCTAAAAGTAACAATTAAGTCCTTATTGGCCAGTACTAGAGATTATGAAATTAAATCAGAATTTACAACAATACTTGATTAAGTCGTATACAATATAAATAATAAAAAATGATTAAAAACAAAATTAAATTGTTAAAAAATTTAAAAACCAAACAATTGAGTTCTTTTTATTTAAAAAAGTTTCTACATGACGTTCTGTACTCAAAGAGTTAAATAAAGTTAAGTTCTTTCTGTACTCAAAGATTCAAGTTCTGTACTCAAAGATTCAAGTTCTGTACTCAAATATTCAAGTTCTGTACTCAAAGATAGTTAAGCTCTGTACTCAAAGATTAAAATTCTGTACTCAAAGATTCAAGTTCTGTACTCAAAGATATTTAAGCTCTGTAATCTAAGATTCAAGTTCTGAACTCAAAGATTCAAGTTTTGCACTTAAATATTCAAGTTCTGCACTCAAAGATTCAAGTTCTGTACTAAAAGATTCAAGTTCTGTACTCAAAGATAGTTAAGCTCTGTATTCTAAGATTCAAGTTCTGAACTCAAAGATTCAAGTTTTGCACTTAAATATTCAAGTTCTGCACTCAAAGATTCAAGTTCTGTACTCAAAGATAGTTAAGCTCTGTATTCTAAGAGTTATTATTTTAATGATTTGCTGAACTCCCCTGTTAGTACAGGAAATGATAAAACTAAATATTTAAACTCAACAAAAGCCCAGTTAAACTATAGTTAAAGATTATGTATTTAATTCTTAAAGACTAGAACAAAACACAAATTTTGAAACAAAATTCAAAACTTTAAAGCTCCGAGCAACTTTGTAGTGTACATCGTTAATATTTTAAACTTAGATTATTTGATTTCATAGTTTGAAACATCTAAGGTCTACGACATTGGGTTGCAAAGATATAGGAGTTATAAAATCAAAGTTTGTGACAAAGACTCAATTCCTTTGTAACAAAATTCAAAGCTTTAAACTCCCGATAGCTTTTCCGATGGAGGGAGTTTGACATTTTGACCTCTGCTAACAAATTTCCGCCAAACCCCGAATTTCAGATGATTAAATCAAATGAAAAATAGCGAACTGAACCCAGCCAGCTAGCTGGTCTAGTTAAACTGTCTTCAGTTTTTTTTCTAAAATTAGGGTCAGAAGAGATTTATTGACCAGAACTATTTAAATAGTAATTATATTGGTTATCGCCCTTCATGGTTAACTATACACGAAGTAATAAAACTAACGAAAGAGGAATAATGTTTGTTTACAATCTTCTGTGACGTATTTGAACAACTGGAGAACAAACTGCCCGAAAAAAAGCTATCCTTGCTTACCATCTTTGTTATTGTTTACATTAAACCTATTGTTCCTATTACATATTTTTTTTTGTTGTTGTTTACAATCAAACTAGTTCTTATGCTTTTATTTAAACGTCACAGTAAAATAACTAAACCCTAGAGTAAGAAAAAAGGCTCTGGAATAGGAAGACGACTTTTAGACCCAAGTTATGACTTTAAATGTCTAATGTACATGAGCTACTGAAATAGTGTAAAAAGACCCATTTCACTTAATTAGTGAATTTAATAAGTTACAAGTACAAATTCACTTAATTATTGACTTAATGTCGTCTTCCTATTCCACAGTTTATGGTTCTCACTCTATCTCCACACCCTTCATTGGTCTGAATAAACACGGAAGCACTGGGTGATACTTGTGTAAGATCCAATGCTTGTATAAATAGATTTATTTTAATATTCCGCCCCCGTCATATATACCTCAGCAGCTAGGCTGCTTTAGCCTGCAGGGTGTCCCACGAAACATGAAAGTGAAATAAAAGAGCTTGAAGGCTGCTTTAGTCTCCAGGGTGTCCCACGAAACATGAAAGTGAAAAGAAAGAGCTTGAAGACTGCTTTAGCCTGCAGGGTGTCCCACGAAACATGACAGTAAAGAGAAAGAGCTTCAATATCGTCCGTGATCTTAGAAATAAACCTACTTTAGCACGTATGATTCTTGAAACCACAAAATTCTCCTGTTCCTGGCATTTCCAAAATATTTTGTGTTTTAAATATTAACGGAGAAATGAAGAATTTCCTGATGATTTCGACAATTTTAGTTTTATTTGATGCAATCAAAATCTGAACAAATTCTCAATATCTCGGGTAATATAAAGCTAGACAGCAATTTCTTTTTGAAAATGACAGTACTAGGAAATTTTTGTGGTTATTTATTCAAGAAGCTACATGTGAAAGGAAATTGACGACTGAATGTCACAAATAAATGGCCGATTTCTTAGACGTTCTACCATAGGTAGAACCATAGTCACACATTGGTTACGCTGTACCAGAGCAGTGTAGATAGATATATACGACCTATAGTTGTACCTATGGTAACATGGATAAGAAATTGGCCTAAATTCAAGAATCAAAGACGACTTTCAAATCGTCGTGCTTCTGTCATGTTTCATGGGACACCCTGTAGCTAACCTAGATTTGGTCCAACTCATTCGCAGGGCTTTTAAAGGAATAGCCTGCGTAATTTCCAGTCACTCTTTAGATAATGATTGTTAACGATTCAGACGATCCCTTAAAGCAATTATTCAAGCATCGATGGTTAAAAAATTCCCCAGATTTTAGATACAAACAGAATTATTTATATACAGGGTGTCCCAATAAACATGGGGAATTTAGTGATGAATTCGATATCGTCTTTTCAAATAATTCTTTGGTTTAGTATAGTGATACCTACTGAAAAATTTGTAATCTGTAAGAGTTTCGTCTGCTATGTTTTGTTTGTGTATGTTATGACTGCATACGGTTGTAGTTAGTAAAACAAGAAAATTTCAGTATACAACAGAGTAAACTTGTCCGTCTTCACTGTTCATCTTGCGGAGACATTATAGACACATCTTACACATCTTTTACCCTTTCCATAAAATAAACTCTAGCAGACATAATAATGTTATGACTTTTGAAATTAGGTATTACATTGCTAATTCATAACAAAGACGATATCCAATTCGTCACTGAATATTTAAAAACCCAATTTTGACCCATTAATTATAGATTTTTCGT